TACATGCATATTGTGTGATGGGCTTAAATTTATGGGATTTATGTTTATTTTTTATCAACGTTCCTCCAATATTTTTTGAATCAACATCAAATATTATCTACGTATTTTCTTCATAAAAGTACGGTTATACTATTTTAAAAATTCTACATTTCAAGAAGTTCAAAAATATCCAATAAACTTGCATTGTTTTCAGTTTACGAGTTGAAAATATAAAACTATGTAAATTTCCTCAAAATTGCATTTAACAGATAGATGCCTGTTTTTTAGGGGCAAAATGATATTCCTTTCAATATCAGCCCACCACTCAAAAATTCTGAAAAAGAAATTTAGAAAATAGATCTGAAATGTTATGTTCATCCCTAGAAACGTTATCTATAGTAACTGAATGTTTATTTTTGTATGTTATGACTATTCACGATTTTGAAAACATCATTATCCACCCTCAACTTGAGGTAAAAAATGTAGCGCAAATTTATTGTAATGGAAACGTACTTTTACTTTTTATCGCATCAACATACAGGAAAACTGCCTAAAGATGCTGAAAGTTAGGCTGCAGATCATATATAATTTTAGTTGCTTCCTTTCCTGAGCTACAGAAACATATCGTTCAAGTGTTTGTGCTTCAGATTGTATTTTTATTATAACTTTCTATTTTTCAAATGGTATGCACGCTGATTTTTGTTTATTATGTTTTGTAAAATACAGATATATTCGAATGCTAAGTCGTATTATTTACTCATATACTATGTCGAGGTTTCATTCTTCGCCAATAGGTCTTAAATTTTTTCGATAATGACGCTTCATAATATGGAGGTACCTGTATCATCTCGAACAAACAAATAATACCTATAAAATGTTGTCTGTTTCCATACAAGTGTTGTAGCTTAAGTTGGATGAAGTAGTACATTACATGAACAACTGACTAACTATAATATGTTAATACATATAAGTAGTTTTTATTTAACCTTCTTCTACAGGTTGGATTTGTATGTTTGACGCTCTGAAAATGACCATTTTTGCATTTTGAACTTTTTTTATTCAAGGACCTTTAGACATAACTTGCTGTGGGCTATTTTAGTTCAAGGTGATCGGTGAAATCCAGAAAAACTGACCGTCGTTTGTTTTATCCTTGCCAAATGTTTAGAAAATATTGATTTTTGTATCATAAAATTTACATTATTTGTTATTTTTATTCAAATTTGCTAACCATCTATAGCAAGTTAAAAGCATTTTGAAAAATTCAAAATCTACGCAGTATTTTCATTCTCTCTTATTCCGGAGCCCCCATTACGAGAGCTATTACAAAAAAAATAATAGGAATGTTTTTACGTAAGATTATCTAGGGATGTTGAGATTCAAAAATAAAGCCTGAGGGAATTCAGCACCGTACGCTCCCTTAAATGCCCTGATGTTGTACGTTAATTGGTTGTGCTGGAAATGGGGCTTCAGATCGCATCGGGAGTCTTGAATTAAAGTGATTGTTGTGGTTGTTTACAAAATTTTGATTATGTGGTACAAAATTATTTTGGAGTCTTCGTTGTGGGGGTCGGTTGTGGAAATTCATTGAATTTTGCTTGTGAAAATATTTGATGCTGTATTAATATTCGTTGATTGTCTTATATCGAGGAAGAGTCTAAGCTGGTCGCCTGCGTTAGCCATGAGAATATCTGATGCGTTCAGTTCGTTTTGGATTAAATAGAGCTACTTTTTGTTTGGACAGGATCTATAATCTTTCCAAAAATTCATTTTTGCCTTATTCCAATATCATTAATTTGTCGATTCCTAAATCATCTCAATTTAAGAGCAAACTTATGAAGGACATTTTTCATTCAAAATAAGTGGAAGGATACACTAGACCCCATAAAATAAAAAGTAATGAAAATATTTTTCTAACAAGCCGCTGTTCCTTCCTAATAAAAAAATCTCTGGTACAGCTTCAATCAGTTTCTAGGAGCAGCAATAGATACAATTGCTACAGACAGATACAAACCGTGCCATCGCATCGGGAAAATCGATATGACTGTTGAGGTAGGCCCGGCATTCATGCATGCTAAATAGGGTGAAAAGAATGAATTGACCTTTCCAATCATTATGCTCACGAATCAATGAACTCGTAAACTATTTTACTACTTTACAGTTGATCGTCAAAGAAAATACATCTCAAATTGGTATATTTTTCGTATTATATGGATTTTAGGTTAACTCTACTACTACTCTATAAAAACATTGCATAAGAGACAATAAATGAGTAGTTGTAATGGAGTGTATAGGAGAAAGTGCATTCTGCTTAAACAACAGAATTTTGCCATTGAAATCATAAAATATACAAAATAAAAAATTGTACTTACAGCTATCAGATTTCTCGACACCTGAGTGTCATTAACACACATGGGCAGGTGATAAAAAATTAGTGCAAAAGCTATCACAGGTTACACGAGTCAAAAAAATCGTTGCAATATGGTTAAAAGAACAAAATTAGAAGTTAAAAAACATGACAGTAAGGATCGGCACAGGGCACGCGATCAACGCATGCGTTTCAGAAGCGTAGGACGAGATCTTTTGTTTGAACTGGAGCGAAATAATCCAAGAGATGGTGGTCTGTGTTGCGCAATGGGGTAGTCTCACTACCTAGTGCGTATATTAACTGAGTTTTATTGTATTTATCTTATTGTTAATAACATCATTTATTATTATTAATGTTATTATTATTATTATGGAAAGGAAAAGAAAAGTAAAATAGGCAACATGGGCTCCGAAACCCCAAGCAGCTGTTCCATTACAAACTAGCCACTTCTCACATCGTTATTATATTATTGTTCTCATTATTATTCGTTATGTAGATTGCATGTGTTAAGCCAAGAATACTAAAACTACGCCTTCATTTAAAATTCGCTAAATTAAAGACACAATTGATCCTTGCCTAAGTACTTGAGTGCGATATATCGCAAATCTCTATTTACCAAGCTGCATAAAATGAATATTTATCATATTTCTATGTGATTATTATGTCGAATGCTGGCCACACACTATCAGGTTCTCCTGACAGGTACGCCTGAACAGTTACGCCTCTCACGTGTACCTGATACTACCACTTTTATAAATTTTAATGAAATCACAAAGAACTTCATTATTTCGTTGCGGCATTTTTCAAAACCTATCTAAGAATTTAAACTGTCCACATAAGGATTGTTAAATACTGAGACCTGTTCAGGCTTCACCGCCACACAGACATCAAGTCTACTCGCCTGTCAGGCAGAACTGATCGAATTTTCATCAGTTGGCAGGACACCTGAAAGGCTATAAATAGTTATTCCCGCCACACACTAACAGGTTCACCTGACAGGTGTAACTGTTCAGGCGTACCTGAGAGGGGTACCAGATAGCGTGAGGCCGGCATAACAAGTAACAACTGAGGAGCGATAATTACAAGAATATATAATTAAAGGAGAGCGGGGGGCGTCGAACTCTGAAAACACAACATTCAGCTCGGTGTTGTTTTATTGATAAAATGCTAGGTCTATATAACGCATGTATATAAGAGGAATGAACATAATATAAGTGTTAAGTGTATATAGCACACAAGTGCCACCTTCAACGGATTCACATGACGTATAGTTTATTGGGTCCCGGGAGGCAAAGGGACTCACAAGGCAGTTTCAAAGACCCAGAGTTGTTTTGAGAATTCTGTACCCTTACCCTCCGATTTTCACCAGCAGTGTGGAAGGACCCTAATTTGGCTCGGATGCGGACCCCTTTAGCCGTATTCTCAGCCCTTTGGAGGAGAACAGAAAAATTTTGCAAGGTAGTGTTCCTCAGAAATTAGTTTTCACTCTAACATTGTTATGTTACTCATCTCCTATATGATAAACGTGATTCATAGCTTTGCGTCTGACAGCACTTTGCAGGCTTTCACAGTGTTAAACCGATAACTCTGGATGAGCTTGAAAAAAGACTAGTTGTGGAGGTAGTAGAAGTGCTGGTGTGGCGAAGCCTGGCATTTAGGTCACCTTTAACCTTTTGCGAAATACCCATTTGATCTTGTACTGATCTGGTCCGAAGACTAGTAACGATTTTCTCTCTGACGAAAGACCTGGATAACTATCACTGTCTGAAGATAAAACGATCTGGTACAGATTAAGGTTTCCAGGAAACAGAGCTGTACATTAATATCAAGAAGCACCATCTTGGAGCATTTTCTTAACGGAATGGGTAGCCTCGTGATACGTAGTAACTTATACTGTGTACGTTAATCATGCTTACGTCCCATGCCTCTGGCGAGGAAGTATTGTAATCAAGAACAATTTCGAAAATGTGGTAGTTATTTTTTTGGATCTTACACGACATGCAATCACGAAAAACCATGTCACTCATTTCCGTCGGTCTATCTATCTGCTAATTCTTGCTGCATCTATAACTTGGAAAGTATCGCTCGGATTTTGGTTAAATTATAACACAAGGTAACTATACTATGCGAAGGAAACACCTGTTGTTTTTGACAATCGGTCCAGTGGCGGCGGAGCTAGGGGCAACAAAACAAAATGAATAACAATTATTTAAAATTTTGATCGTTTAAAAAAAATGCTAAGATTGAAAATACTGAAAAATTTGAACATGTTGGATGTTATGAAGATTTTGAAAATGTTAAAAATCTCCAAAATTCATCAGAATTTGAAAACCCGTGACAACTGTTACAGCCTACTGAAGAATGCAATGTTAAATCTTCCCTTGAACATTCGTCAAGGAAGCCTTATTATTGTTTGTTAAAAATCCAAGGAGAGTTTATTTCTCAAACAGCACTCATCCCTCAAAGTACGCCTATAAATGTGATCCTAAGTAATATATTTACAAAAAGAATATAAGGCAAAGCGAAATGATCGAGTTCAGGCATTCCTCTGCAAGATTACTGCACCTGCTACTTTGCCACGTTATTTTTTTAATGTTCTTCGCCTATGAGTAGAAGAGATTATAGCCACACATTCTAGAACACTCTGTATTATCCACGTTTAGATGCACCCACTTGTCTGATAAGATTTGTGATTAACTAAAGTATTACTCATGATGATGATAAGGTATGAGGTGTTGAAATTAGCGCGATCATATTTGAGATCTGTAGTGAACTGGTACAGTAGGCCATCAAAATGAAGCAAATTGTGAAACTCGGATTTGTGTTTGCTGTTCTTTGCATTGTTTCGGGTATGTATACGCAACAGCCCATAATACAATTTCCCATAATTGCTAGTTTCAAATTTATAAGCTTCGTTGATATGTGGCGTATTTAGATTGAGCCAGAGCTTTGGAGAGTGTTGAAATAAGAAATAATATAAATCCAGTCTCGAAGACATTTTTTAGTGATATATATGAAAGGTAGATTTCATTCTTTGCCTCAGTATAATCACGTGTTGCTGAGAAAACTTAACCATTTTATTTTATGAATGAGATAATGAAATTGTGATTAGGCGTCATGTTTTGAATTTTTTGACACCGAAGACGCCGCGCAGACGGAAGCCTAAATGCCAGGTAATGCCATCAGGATCCCGAAGAAATTTTGTCAATCCGATCATAAATAATGTAGTCAGGACGGCAGCACCCCAAAGGTGTGGACAATACTCGAGGCTAATTATTAATCTGGGCTTTGTAAAGAGTGAGGAGGTCATGCGGAGAAAAGTACTTCTTAGCCCTAAACAAATAGCCTAGCCTTTTCCCGGCAGCTGCCGCTATTAACGACATGTGTTCGTGCCAGATCAAATCCTCGGTGATCTGGACTCCGACCAGCCGAAATGAACGGCTGTTTGGCTGAACTCGGCCATACATCGAAACCGGATGAGCGCTATGACGCTTTTTGTTCGTCAAGGTACACTACTGTGTTTTGGAAACATTAAACTGTACAAGATCGTTGCGACTCCAAGCAGTGATAATCTTTCCAGCTCACCGGCAGAGATCAGCTTGTCGCTCTGAATTCATGCATGTAGAGTGCTGTCATCAATAAACTGTGGATTGTACTGATCGTATAGGAAAGGAGGTCGGTGATAGAGGAACAGTGTCAGAGTCACGACCGATTCCTGGGGAACACCCGTGTTGTCGTTGTGGGATGAAGAGGAGAACCCATCAATTATGACGGATATCTTGCGGACAGAGAGAAGGTCGCGATTTATGCAACTCTCAAGCACCTTACTTATAACAGAAAGCAGAGCTATAGGCCTGTAGTTGCAAGGGTGGGTCTTAGATCCCTTTTTGGGATGGGTTAGACATGTGCAAATTTCCAGCTTTCTGGAAAGGTGCCGGATTCGTAAGATATATGGAAGAGACGCGAAAGAACTGGAGCAAGCTCCGCTGCAGACCTCTTCAATACAACGGCAGGAATGAAGTCCGGACCAGAACCTTTACAGATGTCGAGCGACAATAGCACCCAGCTTACGGTCTTATGCCTGAATGTTACTTACTTACTACTACTAAGGTTCCTCTTCTCTAATAAGGTTCTGTGGGTCTTAATCTTCTGATGGCGAGCAGTGTCGCATGATTTGTTGGACCAGCAGTTGAACGCTGGTTGAGACACTTTCACTGTATGAGGAATGTATTCCTCCATCCCAACGTGGATAATTTCGGTTTTAGATGATCAGGTAGCCGACGCATCGACGTCAGCGAAACAAACATCTCTCCAAGAAGAAGTCTCTGAGCCCCTCGCAGTCGGCATGTCCGTAATGCCAAATTTTGTGGACTGGTTCTTGTCTACCACCTTTTTTGCGTGTTAATGATGTTAAATAGACCTAAAGCGGCGCGTGACCCTAACGTGTTTTACTCATTATTTCCAAATTATTAGTAATAATGATATGATAACTGCATAACTAATAGATGTACAAAGAACTTGTTTGTGAAACGTTTAATTTTACTTCCCACGTCACGTGGCAGGAAATATTGCAGTCATAAAATTCTGAAATCGAGATAATATTTATCTACTCAAAGTGAGTAAAGAAATATAAATCAAACATGAACCACAAAAGGTATTGCCTGTACGTGGACCAGTAGTTTCATGTTGCAATAGAAACTAGAGTTACTGGTAATTCGCAGTGTTTCTTTCAGGACGTGATATGAGATCTAAAATGCAACAAAATCCAGTTTTCGAGTTTTTTCAATTTTTCCAGGGCAAATAATGAAAAAACTATATAAGAAATGCGTGAGAGTTCGATTTTTTTTAAATTAAGTTATTACGACCATAAAAGCTGCAAAATACTACACACATTAAAATGACAGCTAATCCAAAAAATAAAAATGTTCGTTTTAAGCTTTCTTTAAAACAAAACTGTCAAACTCTGAACATTGCTAGTACATTGAACGTACAAATAGCTAGAAAAAACTTGCCCGTATGATTTTCCAAAAGGTTAAAAAAATCAGTACAAAAGCATTTAAATTTCTAACAAAAAGCCGATCAAACCAATTTAGGTAGATCTAATAAAAACCCATTAATTAAATAATATTTTCCATAAGTATTTCAAATGAATGTATCCATTTTTACAATACTCTTAGTTGCGATAAAGGTCTGCATTAACTGTATAGCTCCTGCTTTTGTCACCTTGGTGGTAAAAGGGCCCTCAGTTGTTTTGCCTCATTTACTATGTACTAAAGACAGTGCTCTAGTATAACGACTTCTCTGAAGTCTGCTAACTGCACGACTCACATGTTTACGATATGCAACCCCTCAGTAGCTCCAATGACGAAGAAAACTCTGCAATGATCGAATACGGTAATAGCATTTTTTATAGTTTTTTGTAGAGTCGCTGTTGAGACACAAAGAAAATATTAATATAGCTTTCGCAGTCGCCGAATTTTCTATGTTACTGAGGTCACTAAGGAACTACACATATCGAAAACACCTACCACAGAGTAACTTTTAGCGTATTTTTTTAGCATTTCTATTTACAACTAAGAGCCTCCAATTGAGCACGATTTTTGAAATACTAATATACTCATTCGAATTACTTTCGAAAAATATCATTTAACTGATGGAGTGTTATTTTATCGAAATTGGTTGCTTGTCGGGAATTAAACGCTTTCATACTGATATTTAATTGAATTTTGGAAAGCTGACTATACGGGCAAGTTTCAATAGCAATTTGGACGCTGAAAGTATTCGCAATTTTTACAGCTACATACAGTTTTGTTCCAAGGAAAGCTGAAAACAAAAACTTTTTTATTTTATTGTGAGTAGTTTTTGCACCGTTTATAATTGTATTAGCTCAATTTGCGTATAAATTACGAAAATCAGTCGAATTCTCGCCTATTTCTTACATAGCTTTTTTATTATTTAGACCCAAATTGCTAATTTTGGGTGAATGCTTAGAAATCATAAGAAAAAGATCTCGAAAACTATTGATTTTCGGCCATTCATATATAGACCGAAATTTGTTGCATTTTTGATCCTCATCATACTCTGGAAGGAATACGGGAATTATCAGTAGCCTCATATAAGCATAGTTTACATAGGTTCATAAAAAAGTGATGTGCTGGAGGTCCACTATATTTTCACGCTGAAAACGAATCTGAAGTCGGAATCATTGCGTGACTCATTTTCTCAGTTCTGATGTCGACTAGAATATATTCTTTTAATCTACATCAAAATTTTCAAGCAAAAAATTTTAGGAATTGTTTTCTTGTTGCACAATTATCTATGTTAAACTACAGTAGAATGATGATCCGATGTCTAATCGATTTATCAAACAGCTGCAGCTGAAACTCTCAGATGCTATGATTGTGACCCTAGTCATGATGGAGACAAATGTGGAGATCCTGAAAACTTCAATGCAAGGCTAGTAATTTGTAATGCTACTAGAGGAGAAACGATGTGCTTGTCTGCATTTTATATTGGAAAAGGTAATAATATATTTTCATGCGTATCATAATCTTCTAACGCAGGTTGCCACCCGAAATTGCTCCAAATGGACTAACGTCATGCATATTCATAAACATTTGACGTTGATCCCAATTGAAGCTATGTTAAATTTTGAATACTTGGGTAAATACTCTGCCTCTCAGTGATTCGTTGTAGTCTCTATGCAGGCTATTTCTATTCCTAAATGAAAAACAGCAAACAAAACCAAGTTCACGTCACATTTTATACTGATATTATTTAATGTCAGTATTTCTACAATTTAGATGTATGCTATTGTCAGAAAGTGTTTGCAGATATCCTTAAACTTTCGTTGACTCAATCTCCACAATTCCATTTTTCATAGCAGCCGTCAAAAAACTCAAATCAATTGTAAAATCTCAATTACTGCATTCATGCTCTATGTAGGGCTTATAACAAAAACTAGGAGGTATGATTCCTTTTTGTGCTCTATTGTGCCATCCATTTATAAAGAGTTTTCCAAGTTTTGAATGGCCCTAATTTTTTATCTCAATTATAATTACAAATAATATACACAAGCAGTTTTTCGTTATGATAGTTTGCAGTACAAAGAAAATGTGTGAGGGTGATATCAGGACTAGGATTCTGGGATTCCTGTGTTTACGCATTCATTTTGAACTTAACGTGTATGTACAGGGTGTTTCAAATTCGACTCTCACCACTGGGGGTCTCGTAAACTGTAAGAGATACGAAGTCGCTTAAAGAAGACAAAGTTGCGTATTTAGGTAATCAACAAAATGCCGCTTAGAAAGTTTCGACACTCAAAGTACTTCCGGAGAGAGGCGGAAAAAACGAAATTTGCCCAAAATCGTTTTAATTTTTTCCTGATTTTATTTGTAGTGGGATTTCAAAATAAATTGCACATTATCATTGCCACTTCTCCTCCTCTACGAGAAGGCATAATTATAATGTTAATATGACGTTTCATCTCTAGTCCTCCAGCATCAACTTTATTTTTTCTTATGGACGCCATATTGGATTTTTGTGCAGATTAATAGTGTTTTATTATTTATTATTATAATTGTATTAAAATTGCTAAGCTTTAGTTCCTTTAAAAAAGCAGAATTTCCCATGTTAGGCCTTGAAATTATCAGATAGTCATTTTATCCCAAAATAACTTTTACTTTCTGCTGACTTTATTTGGGATGCGTTTTCAAAATAAATTGCATGTTGTCACTGTTACTTATTTTCCTCTCCTAAGATAGCGTATTCAAATTTTCAGTTTGACATTTCTGCTTTCAACTTCCATCACCAACTTTGTTTTTCCATAAGGACGCTATATTGGAATTTTGTACATTTAAATGGACTTTTCAATCCTAAATTCAGTAATGTAATTCCTTAGTTGATCAAGAATTTGTTGTTCAATGAAAATTATAAGGAAATAAAAAGGTATGGCAAAACCTGACTACAAAAGAAAATTTTATAACAATAATAATCATAAATAAACAGAGGCAAACCATAGCAGATGTTCAAAATGTTGTCCGTTATTTTGAAGACAAAGCCTGACTCTTCTCTGTACATTGTTTACTGCTCTGGTTGTGTCTCTTCTCCTCAGTCTTGCAAACTCTGTTGCTATGTTCAATTTGAGGTCTGCTCTGGTAGACTGGTATACGAAACAAATAAAATCTGATAATTTCCAGGCCTACTTAGGAACTTCTGTTTCTCTGGAATAACTAATGTTTGGAAATGTTAATGTATGACATATTATACATCTTTGAAATCAGAATTAAAAACTCTATTCATCTGTGTAAAAATCCAATATGGCATCCCTAAGAAAAAATAAAGTTATTGCTGGAGGACAAAAAACGAAACATTATATTGAAATTCTAATTATGCCATCTTGTAGAGGCAAAAAATGTTAACATGCATTTTGTTTTGGAACACCATCTCAAATAAAGTCGGGAAAAAATAAAAGTTGGAATAAATCTAGTAGGCGAAACATCTACCTAGGAAATTCTGCTTTTTTTAAATACCCAAGGTTTGATAACATATATTTTTGGAATCAGAATTAAAAACTCTAGTCATCTGAGTAAAAGTCCAATATGGCGTTTATACGTAAAAATAAAGTTGATGTTGGAGGACAAGAGATGAAACGTCATATTGAAAATCTAATTATGTCATCTTGTAGAGGAGAAATGTGGCTATAATAATGTACAACTTATTACGAAATCCCACTACAAATAAAGTCAGGAAAAGATCAAAACAATTTTGAGAAAATTCGGTTTTTTCCGCCTCTCTCAGGAAGTAGTTTGAACTTCGAAACTTTTTAAGCAGCATTTTGTTGATTACCCAAATATGCAACTTTGCCCCCATTTAAGCGGCTTCGTATCCGTGAGGGTCAAATTTTAAATACCCTATATATCTTGGAATGCCTTGTGTATGTCAGGGGAAATATAAGCAACTACAGTAAAAACTTGGACTTTCATTTTAAGAAGCCACTCATGAGAGAGCCTGATGTTATGGAAGATTTTATTGATCTGTTTTAATGTGTATATATTTGCCATTAATCTTTCTTCATCTGTATATTTTATGTGTATTTAAGATCTTACTAGTTTTCTCTTTCTTTGACTTGTGTAAATGCTCTTGCATATACAACACTGGTTAATATTATTATAATTATTATTGCAATATAGCATATTGCATCATAAATAAGGAGCTAAACAGCACAAGTTGGATTTAGGCATTTTTTGTGCAATTTGCTTGTTAGGTTACATAGGGATAGAGATGTGACCACTACCTGATTTTAAACTGGCAATATACAGCAAAATAGTCAGAATGCAGCCTTCCTGCTCATAAACAGACAGCTTGCAGTATATGGCCAGATTAAACTTCAGGATAAATTCAATTCGTTCAAATAATATTGCATGATATTTCAGGAGATAAAACACATAAGACCGGAGTATACAGAGGGTGTTTTGCAAGAAGACCAGATGTGAGAGATCAATGTGAGTACTTCAGGGAACAGAATCAGCAAGAAAATGTTAATGTTGTTTCATGCCTACCATGCACAGAAGCCAGGTGTAATGTCCATTTATTTGATGATAAAGGATTACCTAAGAACAGTGTTACCAAGAATGCATCATCTGTACTTTTAACCTTTGTAATAAATATTTTAATTGTTTCAATATCACTTTTGTATAGATCATAATAATTTACGAAATATATACATGCATAATGCTAATACATTGATTAATCCATATCCTATTTTAGTTAATATTCTTATCTTGATTCTTTTTCTCCATTTCTAGTTCCCTGAGTCTCCTGATAATATCCTGGGTATCTAAATTATGTTGTCTATTATACTCTAATGACTGTTTCAGCTGGAGCTCTTCTAAGCCTTCGATTCTACTATACAGACTTCTTCCCAATTCTTGATCAATGTCATTCTCCTCTCGCAATATACAAAAATACACCATAAATACTGTTAAACTAGCGAGTATAATATGAGGCTCATACCAAAGTCTACTCTCTGTGTACCCTTTGCGCGTTGTCTCTGCACGGTACTGCCTTGCTGGGCTACTGGAAAATTTGATAGGACCTTCATCCTCAACTTTTTCTGCTTTGGAGCAGTAGCATGAAACAGAAATCCGTTTGGTGTACCTAAAATTATCAGGTTGACAAATCGCTCCTTAAAAAGTAACTGATGAATCATACCTCAGTGTTCTAGTAATCATTGGTTTATTTAAAAGTGGTAATAATTTGAGCATTTTAATTTTGTATTTGCAGTTTCTTCAAAGATAAAGTGGGGTTATCTTGGGGGTTATGTTCGGGAATCTTAAATGTCAAAAAACACAAAAGAACACCACAGACGGAACGCAGAACTCACACCACTGAATTTGAAGAATACCCAGCGTATCTCCGAAAGAGACCGCCATATTACAGGTTATACTTACAGGGGGTGTGATCGTAAAAGAATTGTTGAATTTCTATAATTACATAGAAGTAACTCAGGATGATACATGTTGTCTATGCTTGGAGTTTTACTAATGTAAAAATCAGCTGAACAAAGTACAGATGACAAGAGCAAAAGCCTGCACCCTCCGCTAGCTATAATGCCCAGGCAACATTGTTATCTTGTATTTAAAGATGATGAATGATTGATGATGATGATACTTTTTTATCACCATAATTGAAGCCTCCATTTGATTAACATATTCAATTTTTTTAAAGAAAAAACCATATATGATGAACATTTATTATGTAACTTTGAGACACATAACAAGTGGTCATAAAAGGAACATGATGCAATCACAACACTGCCTTCTTCTGGGTATTGTTCACACATTTTAGCATCTAAGTGACACCAATCAGCACCATAAGCTAAATTTTTGTGGTCATAGTGGTGGGCAATGATTTTCAACTTTTGAATGTTTGCAGCATCTACTACATGAACACCACCCAACATACAAGCTGCTAACAAATGACTCTTCTCGAAAGGATCCCATTTCAATCTCCATAATGTGTCAGGCATCTTTATTTTGCTCATTTCATGCTTCATAGTTCGATGATCCCAAAGACGGATGAACTCATCATAACTAGAGAAAGAATTTCATGAAATACATTGTTTAAAAAACGTCTATCCGAAGTGATATTACTACCTTGCTGTTGCTATGACATATTCTTTGGAACTGTGGGAATGTAATGATGTGACCCCAGCTTCATGAGATCTATTTTTTGCTACTGGTCCTTGACTAACCCTTTTATCATACTTGAAGAACATGCAGTCATCACCACCTAGAAACATGTACAGGGGCAATAATAATTTAGATGTAAAAGGCAAAAAGTAGTTCAGATCAAGGTAAGCAGTTCAAAAAACAGTTTTTTGTAATGAGCAAAACAAGTCAAGTCTTAAGCAGTTTAAACTAAAAATAGTGACAGAATTATCAGTACCTAAATCCTGATAATATGTAAGTAATGATTGTGTGAAATTCACATGGGACATTGCTATCTTATTCTAGAATATCCTATATTTATAAAAATAAATACATATATACACATATTTTTTTAATACTCTACCCAAATAATTTTACTACTAATAATATACCAATTTACCACTGAAATATATGTTCAGATCATGATAGCAGAATGCTGATATCCAAGCTTCATATCCATGAGCATGGTGAGAATGTTGTATCATTAGCTGATCCTCCTTAAACTGTAATAAATGTACTCTTCCTTTTGAATCACTGCAAACAATTTCTAGATCTCCACCACTTCTTGACCAATCTAGAGATAATATCAATGTTTCACTTGGATCATCATCAAATGTGAAGCTTGTTACTTCCTCCAATTGCAACTCATCTTTAAGCCTATATATCTGAATTGATTTCTCAGCATTCACCACACCAAGAATTGGGGATCCATCTGGTTTGACTGGACACCATTTCTGATCCAAGACTGCAGCAGTATTCAGGGTTTGTTGTAGTTTCAGACCACATTTAGGATCTGTTGTAAATAGTAAAATCCTTCCCAAACGTTTTTTGTTTGGACATCCTACAACTGGCAAATAGAAGTTAGTTTGAAATGTTTTTATTCGAACTTGCCTTCTTTATCTGCTAACTGATAATTTGCACATACAAAGAGATTTTGATGAGGCTCGTGGGGACACCATTCCACAGAATCAGCGCTATATTCTGTATCATACTTATACAAAGTAGTTAAATTAATATTGTCCTTATCCATAATCTCATAAAGTTGTCTATACTATGAAATACAAATAATTTCCTTTATATCAAACTATTTAAAAATTGCACACTTCCAAAATTGTTTATTTACATAAAATGACAAATCTGACAAATCAATAACCTTAAGAAAGAGGTGGGGCGTAGAGCACGAATTAACGAGAGTGCAAAACACGAGGCAAAAGTGTGAAAGAACGAAATGAGGGGGGTGTAACAAGCCAGACGACCGTCCAAGCTTTCATTGACTGATTATAAAAAAAACATGCACCAGAAGGTGAACGCCTGCCTTTAGTTATTCGGAATTCTTGGTGTTCTATGTCAGACGGTAACCTCCTTGGATACGATTTGTTTACAAATGGTGACAAGTGTTTTGAAATCAGAATTTGATTGTGGAGAGTTTTTATAAAACTAGCGCAAAAATGACGAACGAAGACGAAGATGCATCAAAGGAAAAAGTAGTACATGTAAAAAAGCTTTGTCAAGGCCTACAAAGCTTAGATAGAAAAGAGCGGAAACAGGTTTATGTAGAAATAGAAAAATATCTATCAAACCCAGAAATTCAATTTAGTAATCAAGAATTAAGGAATATATTCAGCGAGACTCATATGTACATTCTAAATGGTTTGAGAGACAGGACTGAAGCAGTTAGAGAGCAAGCAATCAAGTTTATCAATTTTCTTATCATAAACAAGTTGTCTCTAAATGATTTTTACCTCACATACCTCTTTCCTGTAGTAATAGAACGTATTGGAACTGTAGAGTTAATAGAAGACTCGGAAGAAATAAGGCTCCAGCTTGTTCAGCTACTTGATAACATAATCACAAAGTACTCAAACACTGAGCAACTCAAACCATTCTTAAATGATTGTGTTATTATTTTGGCAGAATCAGTAAAAGATAAGTATCCTGCTATAAAAGAACTAAGCTGTCGCACTATAGTAAATCTGGCAACAGCTATGCCCAGAGATTTTCATATGCAAGCTGAAACTTTGATAAAACCAGTTCTTACATGTTTTAACCATCAGAGATACAAAGTTAGGGTAGAAGCTATCTATGCAATAGGTGAGGTCATAATGCATTCTACCTACAAGGGCTTGGATGAAGTAGTCACACCTATGGCAGAAAAGCTCTTTGACCACATACCTGTTGTAAGGAGAGCAGTTGGGCAAGTAGCTGCAAGATGGATGCTTGAATATAGGGATAGATATTCATTTTTCCATAAAATTTTACCTTTATCACTTACTGGTTTGAATGATGAAGTAGAGGAGACAAGGCTAGAAGCAGCTAGTTTATGGGAGAAAGTAGGAATGCAGTATCAGCAAGAAAATGAAAAAGATCTTAAGGATGAATTGGGTAATACTTGAAATTGATATATTCACTAATTTGAGATATATATTGATATATCGCTCTTTGGATATTTTGTGACATATATTATAAAGTGCTGTATATTGATTGATATATGGAAAGTATAGATAGGCAAGGCTACACTGCAGCTCTATAGGAAAGATTTTCCCTCATTTTCATAATAGCTTCTCTAATTGTTGAATGAATACATTTTTTTAAATAAATATAGATGGGATCGTGCAGAACCTCATATTGAATCTATTTAGTACTTCATAACCCTAGTATATAAACTTATTATTTTTCAAAGTAGTTGACGGGCGAGCTGTCAGAAGTTGAGCATTGAGCATGACATTGATTTGCTTACAATTCCATAACCAATCATCAAGATGTTATTGTATGTTATATTAATATTCTCTACTTTTGTAATTGTATATCTGAATATACAATAAAATACCGAACATTCAATTAAAAGAAACCCAGAATACGTTTAAAAAAAAAAAGATTGATACTGAGAGACTTTGATTACTATTTGTTCAGTTATAGCGATTCAATGTACAACAAAAACGTTTGGCAGCCTGTTAGTCCGCTATTTTGAAAGATAGTGATCTTATATCCCTAGCAGTCATCTGTAAATTTTCAAATGCCACTTCTATGCTCAAAATTTGTTACGTTCACCTCAAAATTAATCCGTGTACCAAGTCAAAAAGCCTAGGTGTCTCCTCTTAAACTAAACACTTCTGTTTTTCTTTGCTCTTCTCCATTTTTCTTCTCTTTCCCTATCTCTTTTTCCTTGACATTGACTGGATGCTGCCCAACCAGCACTGACAGATTCGACTAACATACATTAGACAGTGACTAATGGGCAAGGGTCCTAGGGACCGCTCAGACAAACAAATGACGAATGGTGAGTGCCACTTCTATGCTAAAATATGGTATTCATGCACCGATAGCATCACCCCGTATTTCAGTTTATTAAATTGATTTGTTCAAAAAATAAGAAGGGGGGATGTTTGGATAACAATGTGTATGTACTCCTAATGATTAACATACATTTATGAAGTTTTTGTTTATAGTTGCGTCAAATTTAGCATGATGGAAGGATTGTAAATGGACAGTTTACCCGGTGACTATGATGTTGAGTCACATAGCCGTCGTATTTGTTATCTAAACATCATGTCCATTGCAGCTACGCATCATAAGTGCTATTACCGCGCATTTAGCTTCCGTATAACATCAAAAATTGCCGTGCTCGTAACGTTACGTTTTTGCATTATAGCATGTTACTGATACCCAATATTACCTAGTTATAGCTGTTGCCAACATGTCACTACTTGATAAAAAACTTTTAGATTTTTTGTATGAACTACCAAAGTACTACCCACCGGACATTATTCGTCCCAACCCAGGTTGTAGGGTCTTAGTTAAAAGGAACGTGAGCAAAATTGTACCTGCAATATCGAAAGAGTTAACTTGTTGGCAAGAAGATATCAGAGTACGCTGCAGTCAGTTACTTTGTGCAATAGCTCTACATGCAGAAGAAGGAATTACACAAAATTTACAAGACTTGCTTTTAGCCATGTATACAGCTGCACGGGATGATGATATAAGGTATACATCTATTTTTATAAAAATAAAATTCTAGCATATAACAATATAGTTATAAGGATAAGGAGGATTTGCCATCCCCTTAATTGTAGGGGGCACCCGTACTAATGTTATTTTTTGAAGGGTCATATTATCCACTAGTGGTCTTGACTAACACTTTTCGCAAATTATGTCAAATTGCTCCCAATGTTCTTGTTCTTATTTCTCGGTTACGTCACTCAATATTAGGGAATCACATGTTCAGTTCCTAGAGAAATACCTGAAAAGACAGTACAAGGTTTTGAATTTATCTACGAGTACTTCAAACGAGTAGGACGTGTTGCGACTTCTAAAAATTTGATAAATTAATTCGTTTATTTTAGGGTCGTTTCAAACATAAGCAGAGCTAGTGAGCTGTTGGGGTGGTTTGTCAAGTATGAGACTTGGTCGGAACTAATTCTGCCCTTAATAGAAGAAGGTCCTCATTATGGACATTTAACAGTACTACACGGGCTTGTAAAAGGCTCTCCATTGGAGTTTATTCAACCACATGTTGAAAAAGTTTCCAAATACCTAGCTGAAGATTCTATTTGTAATAGTAGAAAGGTATGATCTCCAGAACCATGCTTTTGTCGTCACCCAGATCTTTGAATAAATTATACCACATGTAGTTGTATGCAGGTACACAGGGTGTTTCAGAACTAAGGGATCTAACTTCTAGGGGTTATTCAGGAAAAGTGTCACTCTGGCGCTACGGCCCTAAGACGCGTTAAAATTTAGAAAGGCGATGAATTGCCTAAGTAGGATTTAATGCATTTCATTTTTGCCTTTTGTACATGATATCATCACAACAATTGTTCAGAATGTCTTCCTCCAACCTGAATACACCAATTTAAACATCGCACATGATTTCGGCGGACTTGACTAAAAATTTGATACTCGTTTTGAATGATTTCAAATGCTGCTGTAATTCGTCGAATAAAGTCTTGCTCTGTTCCTACTGGAGTTTCGTAAACCAAAGACTTTACATGTCCTCACAGAAAAAAATCTAGCGACGTTAAATCGGGTGACCTAGGAGGCCAAGAAACTGCTCCATCTCTGGCAATCCAACGGTGCCCAAACCGCTGAGCCAAATACTCACGAACTTATACAGCAAAGTGAGCCGGCGCTCCATCATGCTGAAACCACATTTGTTGTCGAACGTTCAATGGAATATTTTCAAGAAGTTCTGGTAGAACTTACTCCAAGAAACCCCGGTAAATAGGTCCTGTTAACCGTTCCGGTAGAAGGTATGGCCCAATCAAATAATCATCAACAATGCCTGCCCATACGTTGACAGACCAACGTTGCTGATGTTTTCTAGGATGGGGATTTTTTTTGTCCCAAACGTGGCTATACCTACTATTAAAAATACCGTCTCTTGTGAAAGAGGCTTCATCGGTCCATAAAACATAGCGTAAAAAAATTGGTTGTGCAGCGACTTGATGAAGAAGCCAATGACAAAATTGAACTCTAGGATGATAATCGGCTGTAGTCAATCCTTGAACTTTCTGGAAGTGATAAGGATAAAGTTGTTGCGCGTGTAGCATCTCCCAGACGGAAGCGTTACTCGTATTCATATCCTCAGCAAAAAGTGACGTGTGCTACTTGATGGTTCCTCGGCAACTCGCTGAAGGTCCTATTCTTGAAATTCGACCGATCTTACGGTTCGAGCAACACCAGTATCATGCATGTTGGTTTTAAACATGCCTGTCTCGGAGAGCCGCCGATGAATAGCAATAAAATTTTTGTATCCCGGATGCTGTCGTTCGGGATAACGTTCTTGATACAACCGCGCTGCTGCTTGTTGCTCCGTATGCCAAATTCATATCCGCCAATTCCTGATTGGTAAAGTTTTCCATTAGCAACAATTAATTTTTGTTAGATTCTTGCAAAGGCGTTTTGGAATGCAGCTACAAAAAACAATCTCTGTTATCGTTTTTAAAGATAACAACGCACAAGCGCCTGATATGGATGCCTATACTCAAGTGTTTTCTACTGTTACACTGAATAACCCCTACAAGTTTGATCCCATAGTTCTGAAACACCCTATATGCAAAAATTGAATACAAAAATCCAAAGAGTTAATGCAATTGAAAAACAATCATTTGAACTAAATAATGTATTATTTTTTCAGGATAAGTATCAGTTACAAATGGCGAACTGTGTTCGAATACTCTGCACAAAACACACAGGAGGTATCAAGGACAATACTGGTTACTATTTGTTCAAGATTATTGTAACATTGCTTGCTTTGAGGCACAACGAAAATAAAGAAAAGATAACTGAATCTCTCATGGATGATTTGAGGGATACTTTGAAAGTCGATTCTTGTAAAGACATATGGTCACTATATACTGGTAGATTATTACAAAACGTACAAAAGAACCCGGAGTCATGGACTCCTGTGACTGATGAAGCTTGCATATTTCTTACTACAATCGAGCTATGTGATGAGGCATTCGGCGAGAATTTGGAACCTGTTAGCAACATATTGGAGAAATTACTTGACACAGAAGCAGATTCTGAAATGCGATTGAAGACATTTTACGTTTTGGCTAATATTTTTGAGAGGAAATGCATCACTTTTGAAAAGTCACCAGATGCGGCGCAATTTTTAAACCGATTGATTAAAGGTAAAATTTCTTCAAAAGCTTGCGTCTTAGAGAAATCTAAAGGTTGGATCAAACATGACAACTGATTAGGGATTCTTCACTTATACAACATTGCATTTTTAATAGCTGACATAGATTTTTCAAACCCATTTCTCAATAGTGATTTTATTTTTTTGCGGGTGTTTTGAAAACACGTATTTGAAATTCATGTAAGGATAGAGAATTGAGTTCTTTCGCTTCCTACCGAATCAATCTGTCAATAGGATTTTAGTTTTTATTTCGAATACATCAGATTTCATATCTATCTGCATGAGAGGATAAAGGTTATTTTTCTTACATCTCAAGGAAGATAAAACATGGGAGAAGTGGAAATTCTAAGGAGAGAGATTTCTCACTAAATTTTACGTTTTAACCTTGGTGAGCAAGTTTTGCTAAACACTAAGAATAATATAATTAATAATTCTGGATGCTCTCGATATTCGATCGTGATTCTGACATTATAAGTTCGAAAACATACGAGTATGTATACTCGTCGTCTATATTATCCTGGACAGTGCATCAGCCCACATGAGAAGTTTTCCATTTTTGACTTGTCTGCAGTGGTTTAATATATGCGACCTGACATCATGACTGCTACTGAATTTATTTAAATTATCACAGGTCTAGAACATACCTATAACATAAGTGTCTTTCTCCTACAGAAGTCTTCGTGCCGTCGCTAGTATGGAGAGCAGGCGCTTCGGCAGAAGCGGTCCGCGCAATGGCTGTGCACTGCCTCCGTCACGCCTTGGCACCGCCCACTATAGGCGTGGCCGAACCGTTCGCCCCTGATGAACTGCGAGTCATCGCCGACAAGCTATTTCCACTCCTCGCGTCGCTCACTGAAGACCCTTCGTATCGTAGCCGACAGGGGGCGCTGCAGTGCGCCGCGTTTTTGGCGGACAAGTGTAGGAAGGCAGACGCGTGGATGGTGGATGATTTGATTGCTGTCTATTCTGGTAAGAGGGGGTTTTGTGCTAGAGTTCTTCGGCTGCCTATTCAAACTAACCAATATAAATAGGCTATTCTTGTGAGTGGGATTCTAACTTGATTTCTTCTTGCTTAACATTTTTTTCCAGTAGGCTGTTTATAATTCAACTGTGCTTTCAGCTCGGCCATTTGCAGTGAAAACTAAACTAGCATGATTAAAAATCACTACTGCGACAAAAAATTTCATTTAATCTGACAGAAAGTTACTGTTGTAAAGACGACTTTGGCAGATAATTAGGAAGCAGAAAATACTCCTAGATTCAATTGTATATAATAATGTAACTGGTATCTTTTACAAATCTGAAATCATTATTCCGAAAACTTAAAATTTGAGGAAGTTATGACATTTTGTGTTGGGTGCTTTAGCCGACCGCTCATGCACGTTGAAATTGCGTCCTGACGTCACATGACAAGTTCGGTTTATATTGTTAGTATCGTGCAATATTATAGATATACGATAAAATGGAAGGTTTGCTGCGTCCCGATTCACGAATCTGCCAAAGATGGACATAATAATGATTAAATATAGGTACTATGCGAAACATTTATAATTTGGCACGCATCAACATGTATAATTAAGCCCTCACGCGATCGACGCCACAGTGGTTCAAATATCCTAAAATATGGCCAAAATTAGAAAGATTAAATAAAAGACTAATTTTACAAAAAATTCCATTTCAGGTTGCTGATACAAAATATGATATCCATTTTTCAGATATCCAAATGACAGAGTTATTATGGTGTACAACATATTCGCAAAAAAATTATTCAATGACGGCTATTATTGAAAAAAAATTGTCGATTGCGCCCAAATTGCAGTTTTATATGTTTTCAATGTATAATTCATGTATTATTGCATAATCTGCAGCTAAAATTGACATACGCCTGATAAGCATGATACTATTCAAAATAGAGCGGGCTCTAATGGGCTTTTTCAAACTCTTTTTGAATTCATTAATTCGGAAAAATTATCAATTACATATTATTGTCGTACACTGTCATATGTATGCAACGACTAGTAAACAATTCCATACATAGATATTTGTAGAAATGGCACGGAATTAACTGAATATATAGTATGCCATGATGTTATATATTTGCAGCTGCAGCATAAATGCCTATTCATACTTAGCCATGACGTGTCAGTGCTGTAACCGGCACGTGATCCACCCGGCGAAACTAAAAAAATTCTTCCTGGAATTTGGATGAACTGATTCACACTAGACCGACCCGTGGAAGTGGCCGTGTTCTCAGTGGCTCGGAGACGCCGTACCGTGATCATCGCATTGTTTTGGAACGATATTTTTCGATTTTTACGGCCGCGTTTTTATGTAGTTTCGTGAATATTTTGATATATTTGATCAAAAACATGAATGCTGAAGAAGTAATTGAATTTGTGCGCGCACATCCCGTGCTGAAACCAGTGTAATTCAAAATACATGGACTTCCGTTTTCTTCTCGTTTCTTCTTCTTCTTAATACAGAATTAATACAATAATTGCAAGTTTTCATCCTCTGAAAATTTTATTATTTAGACGTCACGTTAACACAACTGGACTGTCAGAGCACGGAGAAAAATAATGACCAGTGTGAATTGAAAACACTATGAGCTAACGTAAGCGAGAATCGGCGTCACGGCTGAGTGTAAATAGACCGTTATACTTTAATTTCTAGAGACCCTCTAACGAAACAGGTAGTTTTTTTGGTTTAGCCTGTTTGATTATCCATAGAACCATCAGTTGAACTGAATTTGTTCATCAGCCATTCAGTAAAGAATCCAACTCGAAGCATAGCATTTTGATAATAAAGTTTGACATGTCGACTGCACATGTTTAACTTTCTAAATATCTATTATTTAACGGAAGAATGCCGAATGTTGTGTTGTCATTTGCTTCTGTCTTTCAGAATTCTTAAAAAGATTAGACGATCCGACAGAGAAAGTTAGGATAACAGCTTTGGGAAACTTGCCTATGATATTAACGGATGTACCGGAAGATTTCAAAAACTACACTTATAAGGCACATCATGAGATGATAATTGACACTTTACTGACCCACTTTGACGATGATGATCCCATTATTCAAGATTTGGTTCATGGTGAGTTGCTTGAACTTGAATTAAAACACAATTACTATTTATTTATATTCCGATGTTTTTGTTTCATAGTTGCCTATTGAACCTAATTGTGTTTTCAGGTGCGCTTTTGACTACAGCTACAATTAATAAAGAAATCTTACTTGATAAGATTGAGAGGCATAAACCAGTTTTACGTAATGTGGAAGGATGTGATAAAATTGTTGAGGAATTGTCTGGCATGAAGATTACCGAAATTGATCATTAAGCACGTTTCTGTAATCTCTTTTTTGTTGTTTGTATCTTTACACTGTTTTTATTAAACATTTTTGTCACTTCACACTATGGTTACTATGTAAATTTATACTCCTGTACTTTTAAACGATCCCATTAACGTGTGTCTCTTTTTTTTCTTTCGTTTTGTATAAATGTCAAGTTTCTCGGGTGTTATTTCAATATTTAATATCCTGGGATATTATATTGAATTTAATTCTTGAACCCTCAGGAATACCTTTTCTAAATCGCATTTATTGGTTCTTTTGAAGTTGTGCTTTTTAGATTGTTTTTATAAGGATAAATATAACAAAAAATATTCATGTGATAAAAAACTTGTGGTTTTACAATCCTGCCCAACAGCTATAATACCACTTTGCATGTAACACATGACACCTATCTCATGATTGCCTCATCCATCGATATTTAGTAAAAGATCCGAATTAGAAGCGACCTTCATCCATCCGCTTAATAGATGAAAAGTATATTATATCAAATTTAGTATGTTAAAGAATATATAGAAGTGGGTTGTCTGAAAATTCCTGGCGAGACTGATTAAATAAAATTTGAAAAATGTCTTTTTATTGAAAGCTCGGAAGAATAACATCGGTGATAAAATTTGTATAACGAACATCTGCGGGATTAACAGCAACATTGATGCTGTTCAACACTACCTCCAATCTAATAGTCCCGCCATGCTTTTCTTGGTGAAGACAAAAATCGCAGATTCAGCACCGATATTAGATTCGCAAATCGGGAGGTGCACTCCAATCTGAGAAAGAACGAGGGAGTTGTGGCTGTTGTCAGCAGCAGTCTTACCTGCTCCAGAGACGTTTCTTTGGAATAAGGCCGGAAGGACATTCTGTATGGCTTCGCCTCAACTCCAAAACAACTCCCAAATTTATTTGCTGCCTTTATCGCTCTCCCCAATAACTGGGATGCCAACTTGAATACCTCGCTGTCAAAATCGAATGAGCACAAGTCACCCCATCTCAGAGGTAGTTCTCCTCGCTGATTTCAATGCCCCTTTGGTTGGGCTCAAAGAAGACCGCTTTTACCCAAGGACAGACCCAGCTGGTGACGAGCCCTAATTTTTTCCCCGCGTTTCGTCACACGCCAGTATCCTGCTAGATCTCTTTCTGACCAAGCAACCTGCACCTTACAGCACTGCTGTCCTGTCTCCCCTTGTTAACTCAGGTCGTGGTGTTATGGAGGTTACGCTTCAGACAGAACCTGCTGTGGGAGCAGAAACTCGCCCAGGCCGTACAATTTGGCATTACGGACATGCCGACTGGGAGGGGCTCAGAGACTTCTTCTCCACCTTTCCTTGGATATATCTTTGATAACCGAAATTGTCACACAACAAATATAACGAAGCTGTCCGCAATGTCAAAGACCAGTATGTTATAAAAGTCACAGGGTAATGTCGCAGCGCAAAGGCAGTCGGTCTTTCTTGACGCTGGCCAAGCAGATTGAAAGGAACTTCTCCCAGAGTTTCACCTTTCCATCGCTTGACTGGAACTATTGTAACCGACTCAAAGGCTAAGGCGGAAGTGCTTGCCAAGATCTATGCTGCCAGTCACTCCACCATGGGACAGTATGGTTTCCGGCACAAGCGATACACAGGGGACCTCCTAGCTTACGTCACGCAACTGTGGAGTAAACTTATCCAGTCTTATGGTGAGGCTTATGTCGTTGTTCTTGATATCACGAAAGCGTTCGATCAGCTGTGGCACGCTGCCCTCTTATACAAACTTCCATCCTATGGCCTCCCAGAGAACGCAAGTGATCCCCAGGGATCGGTCTTGGCTTCGACACTGTTCCTCTCACATGTCAACGACCTCCTTGTCTGTACGATCACCCAATCCACAGCATTGCTGATAACAGCAGTCTGCATGCAGGAATTCACAGCGACAGGCCGATCTTTGCCCGTGAGAAGGCTAGCGGCGACTTCCTCGCACGAGAGACCTGGAATTTATCACTTCTTGGGGACACAACAATCTTGTACAGTTTAATGCTTCCAAAACACAGTAGTGTACTTTGACGAACAAAAAGCGTCCTAGCACTCATCAGGTTTCGATCAGGGGCGTAGCTATCCTAGGGCAAACCGGGGCAGTGCCCCGGGGCTCCGGCTTATAGGAGGCCCCGGCCATGCGCCTCAAAAAAATTGTTTTTAAGCGCCGATCAGCAATAAATTCATTAAGTGCTAATATAACCTAGGTATACTAGAAAGAAAAATAAATAATGCATATAATGATAAATAATGTTTATTTTTTAAAACGCTACATATTTGAGGAAAGCGCTTGCGTTCCTAAATGTATGTAGCTATAATCCGTCGGACCGCGACGGGCTTGGCACCACCGCCTTAATATTACGTCTCGTCTTTGGGGATTCCCCGATCTATTGTTTTGATGATTTTAACTACCCAGCGTGCCCTATGTGATATTGATATGTGTCGTAGTCGTGCCGTGGTGTCCGGCGTGGTGTAAAATATCATCACTATATTTGTATTGTGTCTCGTTATAATAAGGTACCTAGTAAAAAAAAGGTAAGTGTAAGTTATATTAGTTAATGAATAAATGGTTCGATTTTGATTTGTGCGTAATTTTGTTTGTAAATGTACATTTGTCCATTACCTTGCTGAGTAAAGGCGCCCGCTGAATTTCCGTAACGTATGACTTAAGAGTTAAGTTTCATTTAAGACAGATTATAGATTAAGACTTAACCGCAAGGAATTATACAGAATTCTGATCAGGTGATTTATAAAGTATAGTCAAGACTTAAGCCTTAAGGCATGAGAAATTACGTTACAGCTTAAGGCTTAAGTCTTATGTTACGGAAACTTTGCAGAATTAGCAGATTGCGGAACAAAACGCAAAAAAAATAAAAATCGAAGATAAGCGGAAATATCAGTCTGGAGCACAGAAACGAAAATTGAAATTAGAAAAAGAGGAAAAATAAAAAAAGCATGCTGAAAAAGAACAAGTAACTATGCAAAATATATATTCTTTTTTTGGTTTAAGTATTGATAGATGGGATCTTTTAGCTTCTTTTACCAGTGAATCCAGAACAACTTTAAAAACATTAAATCCAACTCGTTGGTCAGGAAGGATATTGTCTATAAGTGCTGTCAAACTTCGTTATCTTGACATTATTAAATCTTTAACAGAAATAGAGTTACAGTCTCATAAAAAAGAAGAAAGAGAAGAAGCTTCTTCCTTTAAAAAACAAATGTGTTGCTTTGAATTTGTATTTATTTCAACAATGTTGTATAAAATCTTTACCCAGGTTAACTTCGCCTCAAAGGTCCTTCAAAAGAAAAATATTGATTTAAGTGAATCTGTGACTGTTTTAGAACAAGTAGAAAAGAATCTTACTGACTTAAGATCTCCTTAGGAAATTCAGGCAAAAACGTCAACCGAAAGTTAAAAAACACTTTGACGAACTCTTAAGTGATTACAGATTTAATAATACTCAAATTTTATTTAAAATAAATGTTTTTAATGTTGTTATGAACCGTGTTCTGACACAGATTTCTAATAGATTTAGGAGCATGAAAAAAATTAATAAATTGTTTGATTTACTTCTTCCAAAAATTATATCAAGTTGCGATGAAACATCCATTAAAAATAAATGTACAGCCATTTATAACAAATATCCTGAAATATTTGATTTAAATAATTTAATATTTCAGTATACCAATTTGTTAAATGTTTGTAAAAGAGACCTTAAGAATGATCTATCAATTAAGGAATATTTCAATATAATTTTAAGTAAGTATGGGGTACTTGAAAGCGACTTAAGTGAAGTTCACTTAATGTTCCTTTTATTTTTTACGTTGCCTGTAACTACTGCATTTGTTGAAAGATCATTTAACAAGCTAAAACTTGTAAAAAACTATCTTAGGTCTACTGCAGGCCGGATTAGATTAAGCGATCTTGCTTTGCTTTCTATAGAGAATGAAGAAGCACAAAACCTTGATATAAATGATATTATCAACGAATTTGCAAATAGAAAAGCAAGAAAAAGGGATTTTTAATTTTGTTATTGCTTAATTTTTGACTTTTGTTATATCATTATTTTAATTTGTGTTACTTTTTGTTTTTATGACAATAAACAATTTTTTTATTATAACATGATATTTTTTATTCTTAAACATACTCATGAGGGCCCCCAAAAAATGTTTGCCCCGGGGCCCCATGACTTCTAGCTACGCCACTGGTTTCGATGAATGGGCGAGTTCTGCCAAAGAGCTGTTCATTTCGGCTGGTCGAAGTCCAGATCACCGTGGACCTGATCTAGCACGAACAGATCTCATCAATAACGGCAGCTGCTGTGAAAAGGCTAGGCTAAGAAGTACTTTTCTCCGCATGACCTTCTCACTCTATACAATGCCCAGATAAGACCTAGCCTTGAGTATTGCTCACTCGTTTGGGATGCTGCCGCCCTGACTACATTATTTATGCTCGATGATGTGCAGAGGAGGGCGGTCCGACTGATCAATGACTCTTCTCTAACAGACAGTGTCGGGACCCTTTCGCACCGCTGGGCCTTCGGCGATCTAACTGTTTTCTACCGCTACACCAACGGGCTTTGCTCATCAGAGCTCTCTTCCATGATGCGGGCGATGTGCCTGCCAGATAGAGCTACCTGACTTTGGCCTCCCATCCTAACCATGTCGAACTTCGGACATCCAGAACTAGCCGATACGACCGCTCCTTGGTCCCTAGGGTTTCGAGATTGTGGAACAATCTACAACAGGAGGCTTTTTCCAGTTCTACTAACCTCAGGCAGTTCCAAAATCGGAAAGTTTCTTTGGGATCTTCATAGCAGCCTGCGCCCGCCGCTTCGGTTTAAAAAATATAATACATACATATACAGGGTGCGGCAGAGAGGATGGACGGTTTTTAAAAAATCATAAAATAGTTAATTTTTACTCGAAAACAAGTTTATTGATGGAATTAGGTTCACAAGGAAATAGCATTTGAGACAGTCAAGTGTGGAAAATCACATCAGGCATGTGGTGGCCGAAATCGTTGATGCAGTGCTGGAGGCGTTCTTGGAAGTTCGCGTAGACTCTCTCCAACATCGCTCTTTCAACTTGGGCGACTTCCACGAGAATTTCGCCCTTCAATTCGTCTAGAATTCGGGGCTTGTTCGCGTATACTCCAGCCTTGAGGTGTCCCCATAAGAAAACATCGCATATGGATAAATCTGGGGACCGAGGAGGCCAATGAACATCGCCAAACCTGGAAATAAGGCGACCAGGGAAGAGAGGGCGAATAACGTCCATGGATGCTCGGGCTGTGTGGGCGGTCGCCCCATCCTGCTGGAACCACACACGTCGTATTGGAACACGTCGCCGTCGTAATTCAGGGAGAAAGAAGTTGGTGATCATGTCGACGTAGCGCTCTGAGTTCACGATAACATCACGATCATTACCGTCTTCGAAGAAGTAAGGGCCAATGATGCAAGTTTGCGATACAGCGCACCAAACTGTTACTTTTGGGCTGTGCAGCGGTCTTTCGTGTAACTGTTGCGGATTTTCATTAGCCCAATAACGACAATTCTGCTGGTTAACCATGCTGTTTAGGTGAAAGTGCTGGGCTTCGTCACTCAACCAAACAAAATGAGGTTCTCATTTTGATCGATCAGTGCTTCCATCTCACGTGCGAAGTTCATTCGTTGTGCATAATCTCCGGGCTGTAACTGTTGCACAATGGGCAATTTGTAGGGGTGAAAGCTGAGATCCATATGCAAAATTCGCCTTACCGAACGATCACTAAGGCGAAGTGCAGCAGCATGTTTCCGGGCAGATCGAGTCGGACTGCGAAGAAAGACCTGTCGAACGCGTTCAACATTTTCAGGAGTTCGAACTGTTCGCGGCGCTCCTCTTGGTCTTCTGTTGATCAGTTCACCACGCCTGCGAAGTGATTCAACCCAACGAAGGATGGTGTTTCGAGAGTGAACAGCTCTATTCCGATGAATGTTGAAGTGGCGACGAAACTCACGCTGTACGACGATGACTGACTCATTATTTCGGACCAAACAATCATAGGCGAAAACGTGGTGATCCACCGCCCAAGGCTCCATAACGACAACTGGTAAAATAATGCTAGGATCTCACGAGTCAAACAGCACCCTCCCCACCTCTCTCGTAGACGGTGGCGGAGAGTACTACCCATCCCAAAAACGTCCGTCCTCTCTGCCGCACCCTGTATATATATATAACATATAGAAAAAAATCCGCAAAAAGAAGTTCTTTTTCTTTATATATGTATATATAAAGTTTAACGAAGACAGTTGATACCAACGGGAGGTATAAAGCCTATATGCAAATGTTGGGTTGCGTTTTTTTTTCCTGGCATAACTACTGGGTTGGCAGGTACGAGTATAGGTATTTACACCAGTTTGTTAAATAAATAAATTTTACATCAGAATAACCACCTTTTCATTGTGAACACAATGATACAGGGTCGACTGCAAAAAAACTGGCTGGAATGATTGTTGGCAGGTTTTTAAGACTGTAATTTTGATGGAAACTTGCGGCTCTCGGTATTTTTTTTAACATATTGAATTTGATATAAAATGCTTTTCATCCATTAGACAGACCTGTGAAGGCCACTTCTAATTTGGATCTTAGACTAATTGTGCTAGCCAATAAATCAGCCACAGGTTTTGGATAAATTACTCTAAACATGGCAGCTGGCATCAGTAGCCTTGAAATACTAATTTCATACTCCAAATTTGTCACATTTTTTTTTGCTTTTACAGTGTAAAAGGGCAGTTAGAAATATTGGAAAGCGATATCGAATATCTGTAGTTTTTTTGCCAGATAACATGTAGATAATAAGGCAGTTTCCTATTAATGATCTGATGAAATAATTATAGAAAAAGTAAAGCTTTAATTGTGTCTTTTATTATTAACTCCCAAATTATACACTAATTGTCCTAAATATATTAAATCCACTTTCAGCAGTACTGATGATCACTCCAGGTATTTGTGGGTGCCAGTGTAGCTCCTTAATGTTGGTCTGCCCCTGATGTATGAACAGTAATTGTGGGGGTATTCCATCAACTTCTTCACTACTACCTTCTGAATCCTTCTCTACCGATAAATCCCATAAAGCAATCTGATTGTCAGCTCCAGCTGAGGCGAACACTGCCGAGTCTTTAGGGTGCCATTCTACAGACACAACAGCTTCAACATGATGTTTAAATGAAGCCAATGGAGATTTTTCTTGGAACCTCCTTAAGTCCCAGACATGCACAAAACCATCATCCCCTCCACTCACAATGAATGGCTCGTTTCTATTCCAGTGAATGACATTAACATCACTTTCATGTGCATTTTCGGCTGTGAGCATACAAGCTTTTGTTGGAGGTGCCCTCACATCCCATATCCTAACACTTTTATCCACCGAACAAGATGCCATAACACTTCGTTCATTAGGTGACCATTGAATGTCTTCCACAGAGTCTGTATGCCCTACTAAAGGCCTCTGATCAACTATCCAACTGGCTGCATCTGATGGTTTCCAAATGTGTATATCTCTCTTACAGTCTCCAGTTGCCAGAACTCCTTTTGCTGTGCTGCACCAGTCGATGGCAAATCCTTCTTTTTGATGACCATTGAAAGTAAAGATAGGTGATATCGAATTTGATTTTTCCTTATTGTATTTTGAAAGAACTTGATGATCTTGTTCAACAACATCCAATTGAACACTCAAGTCCCAGATGTTAATTCTTCCCAATTCACTCCATGATGCAGCTAATACTTTATTATTTAAGGTTGTATTTCTGATTCTGTTAACACAGCCTTGATGTTTGATCAGTGCTCCAGCCATTTTTGGGTTTTTAGCTTCATCCTCTTCATCAGAGTCATTTTCATCCTCTTCAGGACTAGTTTTGTGTAAATTGGATAGCTTCATCACTATAACATGATTATTGTGAGTCTGGGATGACTGTGTACCAGCAACAATGTATGCTGTGAGAGGGAATGTTTCTCGATCATCGCCAAAGTTATCTGGTATAATATCAAAGCTTAAACAAGGGTTTGACGTTTGTGCCTGATGGTACATAATATAAGCGCTTTGATCACATACTAATTCTTCTCCTTCCTCTAAAGGCTGGCCCGGCAAATACACCTTACTATCTTGATTTTGTTCTTGAGAACCCTCCTCATCCATTTCTTGATCTTGTTCATCCGATTCACTTTCTTTTTCTTCTACTAGTTCCATCTCAGACTCATCCATTTCTGATGATTTGGTATGTTTTTTATTGTTTTCTCGATTTTACCGCGGTCCAGACACGTGGGAGATTGTTTTTAAACTTCAAATAAAAAATATTAAGGTTATGTTTTGTCATACGCACACATGTCAGTGTCAAATACGCCGCCCTCCTAGGACGCGTTCAAAGTCTTCACTCTCCGCGCAGTTTTTTAACAGGAAGAATTTGAATATTGAATGTCTTACGTGTCATACCCAAGAAATCACACAACGAAATTTGAAGATTTTTATTGAACAGGACTACAAACGAGAAAATTATTTCGGCAAGATATATCTTTCCTGAGGAGATTCGGATCGGGAGACAACTAACCTCGGAGTTTTGGATTCAAGAAAGTTGAAGTTCATCTGAACATTTCTTTGGCAGTATTGTAGGAATACTTAAAATAAATTGAAGCTTCTTACTTTGTAAGAAGTTCCTGTAAACTATTCGTAAGAGAGGTGTTTCCTTTGATTAGGAAAAATATATCCTTTCAAAATGTAGACAAAGTTTTTTTGTATAAGGTTTATTGGCTCTATTTTATGATACAATTAAATTTAAACGTAATGCTTATAGAATTAAGATTTCGAACATATTTTACACCGAGTTCTTCATACAAATGTCCTGAGATTAATAAAGCAATAAAAAATATATCGAAAGTCTATTTTGTCAGACAATATGACGTTCTTCCATTATTATTCTGTGTAAAGATGATAGATATCCACTGTCAGTTTTAACTCTTGAAGTTAATAAGATACGTGTTCGTCGATGGCAGTCTGCATTATACCACGATCCTCTAGGCAGGTTTTTTGAATTTTGCTTACCCAATTTATCTTGAGTCCTTGACGGTGGTTTGCACTGCTTTGGGTTAAAGGTGAGGGATACTTAACTCGGAGTTAGCGGTAACCCCAGGTTAAATTCGAATAGCTTTGCACCGTCAAAGTTCACCTCTTGGTCTATAAACCCCGACTTTTGGTCATGTTGGCAAGCTTGGAATATAGAGATATTTCTTAGAATTAATATATTTATTGGCAATATTGCCACAAAAGCTAGTTCTGTGCTCAAAGTTTGTTGATTTGTGCTGGGATTTGAAAGATTGATGTAGATTGTGACATTTTAGTACTTGTGTTTGTATTCAGTTTCTTTGCTATTTTTTCGATTATCGTTTGTGTTTGATTTGGCTGGATAAAATATCTTTAAATTCCGAACTTGAAAATATTTTTCGCTGTGGATCGACAAGTCGCATCATACAGCCGACAGCATTGTCCACAAAGCACCCTGGTAATTATGGACGTAACCATAAATAATGAAGAATTCGACGAGGATCACCTTATTCCTCTGGAATGAAATCCAAACAGCCCAACAAACAGTTACAAGAACCAATATTAGAGAGTTTTAAGAAGTCACAAATTTGGTTCCGTAAGCGTTAAAAGAACGTCATTTGACATTTAAGTCTTAACCTCTTTTTATTGTCAGTACGCATTGCGATGCGCAGGTATTACTCTACGTTTTCATGGTGCTATCCGCCTTAACACCTAGTTCAAGTGAGGGGTAAATTTATCCCAGAGTTAGGCCTTAACTCCGAGATAACTATGACGGTGCAAGGACTAACTTGAAGTTAGAGCTAACCCTCAATTTAACCCGAACCGGTGCAAACCACCGTGAGTGATTCTTTCAAAAATATCATCAGCAGTCAAAATACAAGACTAAATTTTCCTGTAATGCAGCGTTTTTGGATTGAAAAAGTTGCGGTATCGGACAAAAATTAGTCTAAACTTCGAACGCGGGAAGTTTTACTTAAAGTAACTGTGAATGCTTAACTAAAGTAATAGGATGCACACGGAACGCGGCCCTGCATTTGTTGTTCTTTCTCGACAGTCTTGTCACAAAACAAAAAATACGGTCTTCCTCGACGACTTTCTATGGAAGCGATTCTATAATCTGTCGACTTTGAACAAAAGTGAGCCAGTTTTAAATCAAATCCGAGCGGATAACCAAAATTTCCGTATTATGTACCGCGGTTATAATATGGTTCAAGATGACACACGGGATGATGACGTCAGTTACTTGAATCGCTTGATCGCGTTGGTTTTAACCGCGGTTTGTTGCAAGTTGTTTGTTTTAGAAAAGCGCGTATATAATTTCTGATTATTTTTATTATCACCTAATAATCGGTGCTTTTTCATCTACAACGGGGTATGGAAAGTTGAAAAACCATGGCTTTGTAGCTATGATAACTTTTAATTCTCTAAACTTTTCCGCATGTCAAAGAAAATATTTATTGATTTAGCAGAAATGTTGAAAAAGCGATGAAAAAAAGATAATAACAAAACCGTATACAGGTGGACATCATCCAGTGAGTTTTTACGGCCATATTTTAATATTCTTGTGGTATATGGCTATACAGGATACTTTGTTAAGCGTAGGAACTAGATTTAAAGTGTCCCCAACAACAGTAATGATTATAAATAATAAGGTGATCTCTTATGCTAAAACTGAAATCAGCCTGTATCAAGTTTCCCAAAAATGAAGATGAAGTACAATATTTTTTTTTTTATATCCAATACCCGGCAAAATTCTAACTTGTCACATGGCAAATAATAACCAGAAATATAAAACGACTCCCGAGTTGGGTAAATACCACAATTTTGCGGTGATAACTATGACATATAACAGCTGATTCATGACGTCACGGATCTTATAACCAAACTGATAACCACACTCGCTTGAACGGATCGGTAAATACCAATCCAAAATGGTAAATACAATTTCCATTTGGTTATCCGCTTGAATTGGATTTTAGACTGACACTAAATGGCTGGTTGATCACATGCATTTAAACTGATCAGTCATCATTTTTGTTTAATGATCAATTCGCATAACAATAGTGGATCTTCTTCGAAATCAAAAGGTTGAACTTCTTGTTTCACAATAGGTTGCATCCACCAAAAAACATAAAACTGCACATCGGATAATCCAGTCAAAACTGTCAAAACTGATGAGAATGGAAAGGGTGACCAACGAGGATGTATAGATTAAATAGGAAATATTTTATGTGCTTTAATCCGTAAGTTGAATAAGTAGCATAAAAAATGGAGTCAAGTAGCTTGACTCTGCACTTCCTACGCAACGCTATCATCAGTGCATAAAGGATTAAAAAAGGCAGTTACGATCATATGCAACAGACGAATGAAAGTGCCCTACCGGTAGTTACTGTCCACCTGACAAAGTTGCAAGTTGTCCAATTCCACATCTGAACGACAGCGCTCGGCGCGGCATTGCTGCAGAGGGTTGTCGTGCGTGGTCCGTGTACGTTTTCTGCGCTGCAGTACGGATAGATTAGTCAGCCAGACCGGTTCGCCGGGCGGTGATCTTAGGTAGAAGGAGTACGCGGATCAAAAACATTCATTCTAAGTTTTAAAGGCAAATATACATAGACATCAAGGATGTGTGAAATATGGCTCATAGGTGCATAGAATTACCGTTGGGTTGGTAGCGTACAAATATAAGACCAAAAATTGTTTATAATACAATATCTCATTTTTGAAAGTTTTGCGCGATTGCAATACTTCCTCGCTCAGTGACGTAGGAAGTAAAAACAGAAAGTAATTAGACGAATAACAGTGAAATATAATATGGATCATTATGGTAAATAAAGGTACAAAAATATCATTTGGTCTGGTCTTTATGGAAGAACCAATCATATTTTCGAATTTATATACAACAATAAAAGCAATAACAATGTGAAATATTTTCAGTCTTCTATAGACTTGATTTAAATGAAACAAAAATAAACGAACAAGCTTCCTTTCTATCTGAAAAATCAAACAAACAAAAGTTTCCTCTGAATAAAACAAAATGATTGAAACTAAACAACTACATTTTCTGGTATTTGAATAGTAAGGTAGATAATATATCTATCAAAAATAAAAAAAATTAAAATCTGGTAATAGGGAGTTTTCGCATGCCACTTAACGTGCTGCGGTATTTTCTAGGCACGTTATTTTGACAGATACGCATGCTCAGTTGTGGGTTTCATGATAGCGGGCACTAATTACGTTACCGCCAAACGTAATTTGAGAACACTTAGCGCGAGGCGGTATATGATGTATGATCGTTTCGTGGATACTAGTGGTGGGTAATCAATACTTTTGCAAGTATCGAATAGATACCGATACTTTATCTGTAAGTATCCCATACTGAGTATGCAATACCGATACCAAGTATCGGCTCGATTAATTGCCGTTAGTATCCATTAATTTAATACTGCTAGTGTGAAATAATAATAATAAATAATAATAATCCTGTTCGTGTCTTTATGTCACTGATCCAGGCCCCGACCTTCGAATTTATTGCTTACTGTTTGTTTACTGTTATTATGCGGTCTCGGTCTCCTATAAGTAGGTATCATCGAGTATAGACCAGAAATTAGAAATGACTGATGAGTAGTGATGAGCGATACCCTGAATTTTAAATTACATTGCTATATTTGTTATTGTTACAATATTGGTTAAAAATAAAATATAAATTCTGGGCTTTTGTAACCAGAAATTAATTTCAGCCTTCAGTTAAGTGTTAGAAATCAAAATGAAACACTTTAATTCCCAAAAGTTCGCCTATATTCAATTGACCCCCGGAACGTGCAACAACCCAAAAATCGTATTCAAATTAAAAATCTCGTAAGACTGCCTTAGTTTTTTATACTTTCGGTTCCCAATACCTAAGACCGAATCTATATCGAATATCGATATCGACGTCTACATAAACGTGACGGTAGACATCAACATCCTTATCTTAACGAGTTCTGGGAATCCCACGTGTTGGCCTAGTCGTTGTGTTGAGAAGAACTGCTGGGTTATGTCATATCAAACAGTATAGCTTACATATTTACATAAATTTAGAAGTGTAGTGTATTATATATTCTTTTTTTCCAAATATAATAAAATATGAGTGATAAAAGAAGAAGTGGTGTTTGGTTGTATTTCGACGCAATTGATTCAAATAAAGCAAAGTGTGACATTTGCAAAAATGTCTTATCCTATAATAGGTGGTGCAACCCGCAATTTGAGGAAACATTTGAAGGCGAAGCATTTTGCGGTAATAACACAAGATCTTCCGTCTCCTTCGTCTTTTAGAACATCTGCGGAGTTGGAGGATATACTTCTCCTACACCTTTGGAAGTCACCCCAGGAAGTTCGGCTTATGATGCCACAAAAAAATTGATCAGGACAAAAGACGAATGCCTTTTCCCTCATCAAAACAATCTAAAATATCAACTTTTGCTACGTGACCAATGTCTATTCCGGGTACTAAGAACCTGCATATAAAAGTTTTAAACATGATTATAAAAGACATGCAGCCATTTACAATTGTTGAAGATGAAGGGTTCAGAGAACTGTTAGAAGAGTTGATCCTGCTTATAAACTTCCTTCAAGAAAAACTTTAAGCAACAGTTTGTTGCCCCAAACATATGATGAAGTTGTTCAGAAAGTAAAGAATTTACTAAAAAATTCGGAGTATTTGACGATTACGACTGATACTTGGACATCCACAGCTGTTGAAAATTATTTGGCCATAATCGTACATTATTTTTCTGTCACTCTCTGTCTATACTACAGTTTGTATAAATAGTCAGATTGTCAGTATTTATTACAGTATTCGATACATTTATCAAAAAGTATCGGATACTTCTGACTTCGGAAAGTATCGGATCTTTTGTATCGGACATGGTTATGTCCACGTTATTTCTCATGCTGTTGCGAAAAGTATCCACAACCTATTAACATAACGTAATGTGCTTTACCGGATAGCGTTTGCGCCTACGTCGCTTCTCTAAGCGTTATGTGAAAACTCCCTAATACTTTTTTTCAGTTATTTTATCCAAGATGTCATTTTCCTTAGTAATCATGACGTACGCGGTACGCTGCAGGCGTTGCTATATATGCGAATACCGCGTAGACCAAAAAGCCTACTAAATCGGCACGGGTATTACGTATCTTGAAAAGTGACATTATGTCGCGGTGGCGATTTTTCGTAATGCTCCTCAAAGTTTTTGAAAACACAAAGAAACGTGTAGAATCGTAATTTATAACTTTGAACATAACCTGTCTTCAGAAAGACAACATATAAATAACCCGTCTGGCACAGCTAATCGATATACTTCATTAGCAATATATTCAGTAGTAATTTTCTCACATAGATGTCCGGCTAAAGCCACACGGTTGGCAACCCTACGTTGGAGTATCTATTCGATTGACCATCCGTTTAGAAACACCAATATAAGAAAACATAACATTTTACCAGGAGGTAACTATTGCCACGTAGTATACCAAAGCTTATACATCCGACCCTTTTGTTGGGAGACCATCTCACACCACAGCTAGTCAACCATGATGGACGATTTATTTCTCCACGCATAGGAAAATTTAGCGACTTCTAGAACACAAATCGGTATCACTTATTCTCGTCGGTCTGTCTGTCAGTGCGTCTGTGTGCTGGCGTTATTTCTCTCGGAAACGGCTATATCGAATTGGACGAAATTTGGGGAGCAGCATGCAGTGGGGGCATAGTAGGTGATTTTTGAACATCATTTAAATGGCAGCAGTATTATGAACAAAAAAGGAAGTAGTTCAAAATCGTTCCGGAAGTTTTTGGATTGGTATATGTTTTACAATCTTCTGAACGTTTTTAGGTAGGTACTCAATTTTTTGTAGAGCTTAAATTTTGAGCAATTTCCAAAATTTCTTCATATGGTTTCTGATTACTTCAGGTTTGAGCGTAATCAATAACATTATTCCGCAGCTCAAAAATGCTGATTCTTTGATAAAGCTTATTTTTGGCTTAAATTATAAAGATAATAGAAATAATGATACTCAAACACTATTTGTGTAACAAGGAAAGGAATTTGCACATAAGGAAGAAAAAATAAGCATAATAGGAATGCGTAGGAGTTACTAAGAGTGACTATATTTTTTTTTACGTTAAAAATATTTATTGAATTATCCATAGATGAAGATGATCTTAGTGTTTCGAGATTGTCTGTGTCTGAACATAGTACCAAATCATATAGTCTTAGTCATGGTCTCATAGAAGTCTAAAAATAATTGAATCGCTTCTAATTTTTAAAAGCTTCTTTCAGCTGTTGCAGTTGGAATACGTAATCTAGAAGATATGAAATAGGAAGCACAAGCTATTATGGCAATTGGTCATATGGTCTAACGATGCAGCACTTGAGAATTTATGGTTTGGAGAATGGCCTAAAAACTTGCGTGATATTGTGGATAACTCTACGCATTTTTTCTTTTACAAATCGGCGCTGGTATTACGTATATTGAAAAGGACATTATGTCGATTTTCTCTGACATTGTATTGGTGTTTTTTGTGACATTTTATAGGTTTTTCTACAAGATGTTAACTTAGCACTAGCTGATGGACACTTGTTGTGAACTCGTTTTGTTGTACGTGTTTCCTAAACGTCATGATGCTGTAGTTATCAATGTCGACAATTTCCCGTTGGTATGGAGAATTCAAACGTGGACGGGTGAGTCTTAGGCCCGTATCGTCAGTCGTCCCTACAATTGTAGGGCGCCTTTATGGCCTCCTTGATTGTCATAGTTTTCTGCTTCTCCGTGTCAGAACTCTATTTTGAGGTTATGTCACAAACATCTATTTGCATCAAATTGTGCTTGCTTTTGAGTTATATCATGTTTTATCAGCCTGAAATTTCTTACAATTTAAAAAGAAAACATATCTTCACAATAGGAGAGCGCTGACGCTGACACGGGACAAGTGTAATCTAGAAATTTTTGAAGGAGAGAAAGGAGTATGACAATCAAGAAGGCCATACACGCGCCCTACAATTGTAGGGACGACTGACGATACGGGCCTTAGCGACGATCCCAGGGTGGGTGCACCAAATACGGCAGTCACCCAGGGACACGTCGATGCTGTACGCAAACTCATCATTGAAGATAGACATATGTGACATATCGCGAGAGCGAGGCGTCCTTGAAGATCTCAAACACCTCAATTCAAAAAATTTTACATGAAGAATTAGGAGTAAGAAAATTAGTTTTTCGTTGGATATCCCACCTGTTGACTGAAGAGCAGACAGCAGCCAGGGTTAATTGGTGTCAAAAAACGCTTGACCGTTTCAATTCGGGAAACTCAAAAAATGTGTACAGCATTGTTAGTGGTGATGAATCGTGGATTTACTGTTATGAACCAGAAAATAAACGACAGTCGGCTGTTTGGGTGTTTCAAGGTGAAGAAAAGCCAACAAAAGTCATCCGTTCTCGAACTGTTTCGAAAAAGATGGTCGCGACATTTGTGTCATATTGCAACAATTCCTCTTAATGAACAAAGAACTGTTACTGCGGATTGGTATACCACCATCTGTTTGCCAAAAGTCATCACCGAGCTTCGAAAAATCAACCCCGAAAGAAGAATCATCCTCCACCAAGACAATGCAAGCTCGCGCACAGCAGAAAAAACAAGTCAGTATTTAACGGAAGAAAACGTGGAATTATTGGACCATCCTCCATATAGTCCCGATCTAAGTCCTAACGATTTATTTACTTTCCCGAAAATTAAAAACAGACTGCGTGGTCAAAGGTTCCAGTAACCTGAAGAAGCAGTTGACGCATTCAAAAATGCCGTTTTGGATCTGCCAGCAAACGAGTGGAATAAGTACTTCGAAAATTGGTTCGAGCGCATGCAGATGTGTATTAATCTTCGTGGAGAATACTTCGAAAAACAATAAAATCATTTAAAACTACCGACCGTGTTGTTTTATTTCCATATGCAAAACTTAAAAGACATCCCTCGTATACTATAGCTAGAAGGAAACGGCAATGCATTGGTGCATAGTGAGGATTTGTGTGCTTATAATATGTGTTGATGATAATTCCATTGGATTCTTGTCTCAAATACACTTACTTGAGATTCAAAGCTAGAAATCAGTTGCGCATCCACTTTTTCTTATTCATTCAGGAAATAACATATGCAAATTTGCTGATTTTCAAAAATGAGAGAGATAAGAAAAGAAAATCCCTGGTTGGTGAAGGAAGATGTGAGAAAATATGCTACAGACAATAAAAAATATAAATCAGCACCTAGGTATTGCGAAAATGTTTGATGTGCGATGCGTCATTACTAATTTTTCTGTGATGTGACTTAAATGCACACAACGCGGGCGCGGTGGCTGTTTCTCGTAGTGCTCCTCAAAGTTTTTGAAAACACGAAAAACGGGAAAAATCGTAATTTATAACTTTGAACATACCTGTCTTCAGAAAGGACAACATATAAATAACCTGTAGGGCACAGCTAATGGATATATTTCATTGGCACCATATTCAGTAATAATTTTCTCACACAGCAAATACCACTGATTTGATACACATGCAGACCAATACACATAATCATCCATATACGATCTTGCTATTCACCCAACCATATGCAACCAACAATACGTGTAGTTGATTCATCTCCATAGATGGATGCTCACAGCGGTCATAGCGAGCAAACGTGGAATGAACTATTTGCACCTTAAAAACTACATAGTCTGCAAGTTGACATTTTATTGGTTTTTTGACGTTTTATAGGTTTTTTACATAATACCAGTGCGGGGTCCCCCTGTCAGCTGAAGAGAGGGGGTTCGACGCTCCTGCATATAGGTGTATGATGAAATAAAGGCACATATACAACAAACACAGGTCTTTATCAACAATATAATCTGGGAATATCAACAACCGTCGCAGGTTTTTTGACTTCTTAACACTAAACATCAGCTTCAATAGTCTTATCTTCAAACGACTCATCCAACTGTTCTGTACATCGCTGCATATGAATACGATCCTTTTATCACCTAAAATAGAATACATATATAAAACATCATTGTAATGATAAATACTCGTAAACAATAATGAAGGTCCATGTCCTTTAGAGTATATTTCTATATCTCGTGTGCCTCAGGGAAGTAACCTGGGGCCTCAACTTTTTCTCATATTTATAGATCCTATACCATTTAAACTATTTAAGGAAACATCATGTTTGGAGAATAGCTATACGCGTTGATTAACGCATTCTACCCGAAGATAGCTAAACATTTCGGCGTCCAAATTTGTGACAGGTATGTTTTTCCTTTGCTGATTAATTAGAAATCTTCGAAGAGGTTGGTGTTCCATAGATGGCGCAGTACGGCATATGTTCATATAATGTAAGTAAATAGAGTGGAATTAAGCTTTTTTAGGAGTAAGTAAATAGAGTGGAGTTAAGGATTTTTAGGAGTTTTATTGAGAACTTTGATGTTCAGCTCTACGAAACGATTGTGATGAAATCATATAAGCCTTTGGATTTTGCAATTAGGAATAGTAAGAACTTCAGAATTGTAACTATGCCCATATCGATTACATAGAAAATGCATAGAACCTTATTTTTATTGAAGGCTGTGCTTTTGACTGTAATATTTTACATCATATTAACTACAGTAGCTGTAATCTTATTAATTGTACCAACTTGGTACCAAAGGCTAGAGATTAAGAAGTAAATCTTGATACTTTGTCTACGAATCCGTTTAGTTTGTCACGTATAAATTATATGTTGACACAATGTAATGCATTAATAAATAAGTGCAATTGGGATATGTTTCGTATATTCTTATGGGGCAATGAGCTTAAAAAACATATCATAATAGTACTTATATATTTGCTTTCGTTAATAATAATATAAATATAAATGTAATATTGGATAAATAATATATACAAGATTGGCAGATAATCATTGCAGTTGAGTATTTAATATGTACGAGGGAGATAGAGAGAGAAACACGTGTCTTAGAGCGAGAGCGCAAGTGAAGCGTGCCCGACACCAAAGAGAACATGTCGCTTTATTCACACTCGCGCTCAAACATATGTATTGTATAGATGGAGCTCTGTGCTGTCTTATTTCGATAGATGTCATACCTTGGATAGATGATGTTTGTGATGCTTTCATTGGTTGTTCCAGAGACAAAGCCTAGACCATGCCGATGAGTTCTCAAAAATCACGAAGCATAATTTGCTGTATTTTGTCGGACGGATGGAAGCAGCATGTTTAGTCATGCGTGTTTATCTCTCTATCTCACTCGTACACTTTAAATACAGGTCCCCAATAACTATCTGCCAATACGAGTAACGTGTAGATATTTAACATTGGCTTATGTTCCAAGTCCCAGAAAATCAGTGCTTATTATAATGTGAGTATTGATACTAGAGTAAATATACTTACGGAAATTACTGTTCTCAATGTAAGTGGGAAAAATTTGCCGGCAGTGAGATGAAGCGGCTTCTCAAGTCGAACCATCATGATTAGAATGCATATTTTGAACCTTTTACTGCCAGAATACCAGTCACATTCATATAGACTTCTTCTATAGGATAAACTCTAGAAAAGTGTTCTGATAATTCTCAAGGCATCATATAAACGAAAGTCTTGTTGATCAGAAAACAATTTAGAAATGTTTTCTTTAGCCAAAAAATATTTAATAGCAAATGGTGAAACAGAAATTCTTTAAATTTTATATACACCTATGTTATGCAAAATTTTTTATGGCCTCTTTAACAAGAACTGTACTTACCGCTTCAGTAATGCTGCTTCCGAAATAGCATGACATAGACAGTTGTATAAGAGCAGCTAAGCAATTTTCTATCAAGGAGTACATTTCCGGATCAGAAAATGAAAGCAGAGATGCTATGAATATATTGGATGCCATCATAAAAACTAATGTTACAGTTTGAAGTAATATCACCAGACTGAAAATGCGTTCGATATCCTCGTTGATTCTAAAAACAAAGAGACACAATGGACTTTTTTCCACACATAGACGATTCATACGGATTTGAGACTGATTGAATGCGTATTGATCAAAGCAAATACGGCCACATGTTTGCTTATAAAAATACCGAGTCAATCTACTTGTTCTTTATTAAACCATCTACATTTTGTGTTTCGAAATCATCAGCCTCTGAAGACAGTACCATGCTGAATAGTCAAAGTTGTCACATACAAGTCCTAAGCTGTTTTAATTACTATTAATTTAGAAAAGTTTTTTCGCTATTGCAGTTATCAAAAATAGGAAGCAAATTAACTGCCTAAGTAAATAGGTGAAAAGAACAGTGCAGACATTTCGAAGAAGAGTGTGTAATCAGGTGAAATTGATTTCAGTCCGCTTGATTTGTATGAGTGGTAAACTCTTACCTTATAAGAGTTGCTAGATGCAAGTTGCACTTTTTCAACTCACTGTACAATGCTTGCTCATACTGAGGAAAATCTTCATCTCTGAGTACTTTGAAATCTACCGGTAGACCCATTTTCACGAGGGTTCTGTTTCTTATACTCCGTGTTGCTTCACTCAAAATCTTCAAATTTGTTTTCATGCTTACGAGAAGAATACAGAATAGGGTATCGCAAGCTAAAAAATAATGAGTACATGATTCTTTCTTTACATGTAATTTAGCTGAAAAGCATTAAGTTCTATATCGGTGCTACGATCTATAAAGCCCTCAATAAAAGAAACCAATATGTATAATTATACAGTGGAACCCCGATAATCCGGCACCTGTCTAATCTGGCGCCCCCTGTAATCCGACATGTCTTTGAATATGTATTTCATACATACGTATTTGGCAATCTTCGCTAATGTAGATCACCCAGGTTTCAACAGGTTGCAACTTGTACGCGCCACCGCTATCGTGCTCGACGCGTAAGCATTGTTTTACTTAGTTTGAATTTGACTACTGGTGATAGCGGTAAGGCCTAGCGTGCGTTCATTGTTTACTATTTATTCATTGTGTATTAAGTACAGTACCTAGTAATATCATCACAAACTCAGAAGCGAAAGCACAAAACATTGACAATTAAAGAAAAATGTGATATTTTAGACCGCTTAAATCGCAATGAAACTTTCAGTAGTTTAGCAAGTGAATACGGCGTAGGCCGATCTACAATTTATGACATTAAAAGAAACCACGAGAAGATCAAGAAGTTCGTGTCAACTACTGACTGCGGGCCAGGCAAGAGACAGACACTCAAGAAAGCTGAACATCCAGAAGTGGAAGAAGCTTTGTACATGTGGTTTCTTCAGGAAAGAAATAGGCATGCACCAATTTCAGGACCCATGTTGGCCATGAAAGCTAAGTTTCTTTATAAGGAAACAACAAAAAAAGATGATTTTGTGGCCAGCAAAGGGTGGCTAGAACGTTTTAAAAGTCGTCATGGCATACGTTTAATGACTATTACAGGAGAGAAACTTTCTAACGATGCCACCTGCATAGAGCCCTTTAAATTAAGATTTTTGCAAAAGGTGAACGATTTAAATCTTGACCCGTCACTGGCGTACAATGCAGACGAATCAGGGCTTTCGTTTTGCGGGCATACACGCGTTTAAGATGGTGGTCATTGGGAAATCTAATAAGCCACGGGCATTCAAAAACATTGATTTACCTGTACACTATTACGGACAAAAAAGTGCATGGCTGACAAAAGACCTTTTCAAAAAGTGGTTTGATGAATGCTCCGTACCTGAAGTTAGAAAATGGTTAAAAGATCATAATTTTCCTCAAAAAGCGTTGTTGCTTCTTGATAACGCTCCCGGTCATCCGTCTGAAGAAGAACTAACACCTGAGGATAAATGCATCACTGTGATGTTTCTTCCGCCAAATTGCACTGCACTGATTCAACCAATGGACCAGAATATCATTCAGTTTGTCAAGCAAGACTATAAGAAAAATCTACTTCTGAGAGCCGTATCAAAAGATCAACCAATAGAAAAAACTTTAACAGAATTTAATATGAAATACTTGGTTTTTGCTCTTTGTGAGTCGTGGAATGCGTTACCGTCATCAACTATTAAATCGTCTTGGAAATAGTTATGGCCAGATATAGTCACCATTCCTAGCAACGTTCCACAAATCAGTGTTACTTCTTAAGTTATAGAACAAGTCGCTACTGAAACACAGATAAGTCCGAAAGATTTGGAAATCTGGTGCCGTGGAATGGATAAAGAGGAAAATGTTTTTCATGAAATGTCTGACGAAGACACAATGGGCTGAAGAGAATGGTACATCCTACAACGAACTTTTACTTTTGAGAAGACTGAGGGACAAAGCTCTGATCTCGCGTTATAACAACCTTAAACAAAAAAAAAATTGATGAATATTTCCAAGCTTCATAATTTAATAAATTCATTAATGATTTTGATTAATATTTCATGATTATTTTGGTACATATGTATGTGCATTTATGCTTAATTTTATAATAAAACGTAAGCTCTCTATTGTTATTTAATTTACTAAATTCGACATACATAAACTATGAATAAATAGTACTTCAAGGTACATACATATACATAACATATAATCTTACCATTGGATATGTAATTTGTCGGATTACAAGGTACTCTTTTATAAAAAATTCCGGACTAGAGGGGGTCTTAGGCAGTGCTCTATAATCCGACAAATTCGAGTCCGACACTGCCCGGATTACCGGAGGTCCACTGTAATAACAACATGTGCTTTTACATGTAAGATGCTTATATAGGGGGATTCAAAAACACTGGCAATACTTTGGAAGCAGAAACTACAAGGTCCGGCAGTGAAACGGGAATTTTTAAACGACTTTAAATTTTTTAAAAACATTTATTTTTTAAATTTAACTACCAAAAATGTGAACTTTAGTATGTGTTCAGAGTAGAAAAAAATACTTCTTGAGGATCACATCTGCCAAATGTCGTGCATTGGAACGGATGCATTCCTGCAGTCGGGACTTGAAATTCTTCATGACATCTAGCAGCTTATTGACTGTTATTGATTCAATCTCACTCCGGATGCGTTGTTTGAGTGCTAGAACCGCTCTTGGAGGATTGCTTTCAAACACTTTTGCCTTCAAGTAGCCCCATAAAAAGAAGTCGCAGGGTGTCAAATCAGAGGAACGAAGGGGTCAAGTGATATTCCCGTTTTTAAACATTAACACGAAAGGATTCTATAAACGTGGGTCCTGAAATGTTAATTTTTCGAGATAATATACCAGTCAGGAGAATAAATGAGGACCAATATCCTTCAAATAGACTTGTGAAGGTATCATATTGCTTTCATAATGTAGTACCACCTACGAATAGCTTCTATGCGCTCTTCACACTGGTGGATTGGTGATAAATGGGGTTTTGCGCTGTCTTATTTCGTTAAAACTAGAAATGTTTCAAAAGAAAAGTTTTGCAATTGTAACTAGTAAAGTCATATTGTATTAAACGAGGGATGTGACGAAAAAATCTTGAGGAGTGTCTCTGTATCGGCCTAAAAAAGTGTGTATTTGTATTTTTTTGTGGATTAAATGATGAGAAAATAATAAATTTGAAGGAAGTTAATAAGCGTATATTTAATTGTACAGGGTGTTCATTTGAAAACTTCCCACCACGCATTTATCGAAAACCACTGATTAAAAGAAAAAACGCCGAGACACGTCAAAAGACTTGTTAAGGAGGACAACTTTTTAACCAAAAACTACTTCACCCCCTTTCAGCTTCTGCCCCCAGGGTCATCCCCTTGAAAATTTTAAGTGACAAGGGGTATCGAGTAATAGCTTGTTTGGAAGGTCCTTCAAAGTCTTTCATTTTGAGGTTTGATTTTTTAAATTGGTCGATTCGTTTTCAAGAAAATTAGAAAAAACTTTATTTATTTTAATTTGTTCAGATAGAAAACAAAAACACACGAAAATATCACTTTTTATTTCAATAAGTGTTCAAAATGTTGCTCGTTATTGGCCAAACAATGGTATGGTTCAAATTCCTGACAGGCATTTTCAAAAACATTTTGTGGGAGCTTTCTGTGATGCGTTCATCCAATTTTTCAGGTTGGGGAGTAAACACAATGGATTTCAAATGACCCCATAGAAAAAAGTCTAATGGCATCAAATCAGCAGATCTAGCAGGCCATACTATAGGCCCTCTTCGCCCTATCCATTTATCTGGAAACTCGTCGTCTAGCCATTGCCGAACCGGAAGAACATAGTGAGGAGGAGCGCCGTCTTGCTGGAAATATATTTCAGCCTCATCAAGTATAGGGTTTCCATCCTCTGCGATTTGGTTTTCAATGGTTTCAGTGATAAGCGAATTGATGGTATTTTCCAACATATCCAAATTCCATTAATAAACAATGGCCCAATCACCTTGTTTTGCTAAAATGCCTGCCCATACATAAATTTTTGGGGGTACTTCTACAAAAGCATGAGGATTTCCATTGCTCCAAAAACTGCAGTTATGTTTATCAACAAATCCATTTAGATAAAATGTGCATTCATCACTGAAGCTGATATTCTTCACATGAATGGTATTATCCTTAATTGCTGCAGTCATTTGTTCACAAAACTCAACTCGCATATCGAAATCATCTTCGTTTAACTCTTGCAATATTCTTATTTTGAATGGATGACATTTATGGAGTGCGTACAGAGCCTAATGAAATACCAATCGCAGCAATCATTTTGCATAATGAAGTATTAGTATTTATTCTAAAATGACCCAAAACTTCAACTTGAGCGGCTTCATCCAAAACTCTCCGATCATCACGATTTTTATTTGCAACAGATCTAGTTTGAGTAAATTAAGTAACAAGGTCCAAAACATACCTATGCGAAGTTATTTTCCCCGGATTTCTGGCGTTAAGCGTGACGGCAGTTTGCCGAGCATATTGATCTTGGGCGCCATGAATTAGAATTATCTCCACTCTTTCGGCTAGTGTGTAAACCATTTTGGAAGTAAAATCTGAATCAATCAATTAATTTTTACTATCCCAAGATTGTCATAAAGCTAACTGACAGCAAATTGAATTATTTCTTTTCCTTAGCCACAAATAACTAAGCAGCTATAACAATAAATACAGTTCGCTCAGGATATCTGTGTTGATGAAATGAATGCGGAAAAAATTCGGGTTGTTATTTGGTTGTTGCCACGTCTAATCTTCCGAATTGCTGTTTATGTTGGTAGTTTCCATTTTGAATTACTTGTAAACGCATTGTAGATTCGGCAAACCCTAACGTTCAACATTTTGAACACTTATTGAAATAGAAAGTGATATTTTCGTGTGTTTTTGTTTTTTATCTGAACAAATTAAGATAAATAAAGATTTATCTAATTTTATTGAAAACGAATAGACTGATTTCAAAAGAGCTAACCTCAAAATAAAAGACCTTTCAACCAAGCTATTACTCGATATCCCTTGTCATTAAAAATTTTCAAAGGAATGACTCTGGGGGCCGAGGGTGAAAGGGGGTGAAGTAGGTTTTGGTTAAAAAGTTGTCCCCCTTGACAAATCTTTTGACGTGTCTCGGCGTTTTTTCTTCTAATCAGTGTTTTTCGATAAATCCGTGGTGGGAAGTTTTACAATGAATACCCTGCATATAAAAAAGTATCATAAAAATTATTCATAAATGGTGGCACCGCAGCATTTTTCACGTAAACGATTTTTTAAAACAGCCCGTAACATGATCCTGACAAACATCCTGTTTATCGATTTTTTACAGTATCTATAAAATAACATTTTGAAGCGAAATAAGTAAGATATTTTTGATGCTTCAATCACATTATGTGGTAACAAATGATGACTACCTGTCGTCGAAAATTGAACGTTTTAATTCAAAAACTCGCCAACAATACAAAAATCAGTATTTTTAAGATTTCTTGCATATTTTTCAGCTATAAACAAGAAAAATAATTGTTTTTCTTTTTTCTCGATATAAATTTGCAACAGATACTTTGCGTACCGCAGAGCGCTCCAAATTCTTGAGTTTTGAATATTTTTCCATATTAAACTATATGCTCAATCCAATTCTATTAAGTTATTATCCTTTCTTCCACAGAAAAAAACAGTTTTTTCGCAGTTACAGTGATGTTACCCCTCAAAAGATAAAACATTGGAAAATGAACAATAGCTAGTTGAAGACAACGTCATTGAAAATGCTTCTCCTTATTCTTTAGGAGTCGAAAGATACCAGTTTCTGCACCACTGAACTAGTTCAAGTCTAGATTTATTTGTATGTATGTTGTTTATGCTGTCTATACTGCCTTTATAACTTTTGAGCCGTTATCTTAATCCTCAATAAAGTGTTGTGGGTCAGAATTGATGATATGGCATCAAACGAAGATCTTAATTCGTTCTGTTGACATAACTTTCAAAAATATAATTCCATCACCTTGTATCCCGGTAAGGCGGTGTTTTATGGGACTTTTTGTGTTATTTTTTGAAATCTTTGAAGCAACATGTTTAGGGGTGCTCCATACAACATATAACTTACATGCTACATAAGATCCGAGCACTCCCAGTCCTAGGTCCATGAAAATGAGAGCATTTTTGCAGCCTCTTGTGCTTTCAGAGTCGAAAGGAATTAAGAAAAAGTACGGCAAGAAGTCGTAGCATGTAGCATTGCCTTCAAAAGATGGTCCTTTATGAGCTTTGTTCAGAGACAACAAAGCCGATAGATGGGCAGTCACTCCAACCATAAAATAGACAATGTATGTCGTCAAAACGAAACGCGAACAAAATGTTCTTGATGCCAATGTCATCTTTTCTGGAGAAAATAATCCTATAAAAATAGAAAAATGAGATTATATACAGTATGGGAAAACCATTATTATACATTATGATGAGGAAGAGAGATGGGAATATACAAAAGTATGTAGGTGCGTGAAAGACACTCGATTGTAGGATCTTATCTGGCAGCGTCGGAGTGTGACGGACAACGGGGTCAGGTAGAAGAGTGATAAAAGAGAGAGATGGCAGAACGGGCGCTGGCGCCTACCGCTTAGACGGATGCGCTCAACAAATGCGATTTGTTTCTCCCATTCGCAGAGTTGCCAATACCAATATGTCATATTTCTAAGAAATCTAAGTCTACCCAGATTTCGGGAAAAATAGCTGCGGATTCCACATAAGAGTATTCCAAAAATGAAAAAAGTTCAAACTATTAAAATTGTATTACTGTTTCATGGTTCAAATCATATTTTTCATGTTTGTATATTGTTGTATAAATGATTTTGTAATCCCTATTCTTGTTGTCAGTAGAGATACAACAGTATTGAGAGAAATCATGGACCGCTAGATAGGGCTACAACTACCATATGACTTTCAAATAGTAGTGATAAACAGGGTTTGTTTATAGCACAGTTGCCTGGTGTGGCGAATTTGCGCCATAGGGGCGATTTGACAACTTTGAAAGACGACTATAACGGTTACTATGGTGCCCGGTATTCGGGAATCTGGCAATACCTGATGATTCCTAACGTTTATTACCCCAGATTGTTTGCTGACGTGCGCAGTACAACATGACAATCAACGTGACTGAGCACCTGGTAACCCTGGTTTAAGGTGTTATATTTAAAGAGCTTGGGGCAGTTAGGTATCTAGGTCACATTTTTTAATGTATTTCGAGAAATCCGTAATGTTGAGTAAATACTAGATCACGTTTCTTGCTTAGTTTGCTGAAAATTCTACAATAGACGTACATTTTGAGAAACAGAGATTTGCTGCCGACAAAATCGTAAAAATATAACGCATTTTCGTAAAATAATTTCTTTGTTGAAAATACTGTGGCTTGATGACCCATTGAACGAGTATAGTGTCCCGCTCCGCTTTGAATATTCGAAACACTATACTCCAGCAGCATTCAGCTTCAATGTTATCTTTATGAAGTTCTAACGTCTAGGCCATGCTGATTAAAAGCTTGAATGAATCAACACTTAACTCTAAATTCCCCACAATTCGGGAAGCTCTACTCAAATTGGCAACACAGCGTATCTGCCTATTATTCTCATTCGTGATACAGGTCTGCGGTTAACGGTAGGAAATATGTACGAACACAGTACGAATAGCGATGAAAGTAGACGAGCCGATGCGCTGTTGCCAAGAAATGATTTCCCATGTATAACAATGGTTTTTCCTAAGGTGTATAATATCAGTAACCAGTGGCGAAGCATCCATGTAACCATTGTTTCCATTGGTAACAGTTAAATATCTTAACAATAAATATTTTAAGACTAAGTACTGTGAAATAATTTCATTTATTTGTTTACCAACGGCAATATGTAATAGTAATTCAGTAAATAGCAAATTGGCCCCACGAAAATAATGCGCTCTATACTGTCTAGATTTTGGGAACGCGATGAAGCTGACTCGCCTCAAGTTGGTGGTCGGTTGTTACAATTTTCATTTATGGATACACTTGATAGTCCGTCGGGGACCATCGGAGCCGGCTCGTGTCTGATCGCGGTCGCCCGAGTGCGTGGGTCGCCGCGATTATTATGTAGGCTCGTTATCATTTTTTGTTTTGGTTACTCGCATCTCAGTTCTCACTCGTTTGTAGTTTTCTAGTTGTTTTGGGTGCCGGTGGGTGCGTGCAGTTAAATATGGATGAGTGTCGCTGCGTAATCGATCAACTACTTGAAAAGTCATTCTCCTTGTATAATTTTTAAGAAAAAAGAGGAGATCATTGAAAATGGAAGACCAACCCCTATTTTAGACAATTTTAAAAAATGATCAAAAAAAGTAGTTCGATATTTTAAATTTAGTTGGCATAGTGAAAACTCTTGGTTATGTGGTTGCAAGAAAAACAGACTGTATTGTTGGCCATGACTTCTGTTTTCTACAGAAAAAAATGGGTAAACTAGCAGCGGTGTCAACGATTTGAATAGTTTTAGGGTTCTAAAGAGGAGACATGAAATTTCTCCGTTACATGTGAGATGTGTAGCCAATCTGATTCAGTTTGGCAAAACAAGAATCTAAAGTTGTCTTAACCAAGCTTTTAGGACAAATATTGCTAAATATGATGAAGTTGTTAGCAAAAATAGATATATCGTTAGCACACTTATAGATGCCGTATGTTTTTTGGCCAAACAAGAATTACCATTTCGGGGTCATTTTGAAGGGGATGACTCTGACAATAGAAGAAATTACAGGGAATTGTTAACAATAATTGCCCAAAAAGAACAAAAATTTTCCCAACATTTAGAAACGTCATCTGTTACTTCGGGAGTCTCAAGTGACATACAAAACGATATTATTGACTCCATATCTACATTTATGATAGATGAAATTAAATCAGAAATTGCCGAAGCAAGTTTTGTAGCTATTATATTGGATGAAAGCACCGATGCTTCAAACCAGTCACAACTTTCGGTCGTATTTAGGTGTGTTTGCCCCGACGGTGATGTTTTTGAAATTTGTTAATGTTAGTGAAGAGTGTTCAGCGGGACCGTTATCGGAAATTTTTTTCAGTGTGTTAAATGAATTTCAGTGCGGAAATAAACTAATTACACAGACTTACTATGGTGCGGCAGTAACACAACGCCCTACAAAAACTGGTCAAAGATAAGCATCAAGATGCAATTTTTGTTCATTGTTATGCACATAGACTCAATTTGGTTTTATAGCAATCAGTGGAACATATTAAAGAGTGTACATTTTTTTTCAAACGTTATCAGGGCTTTCTGCATTTTTTCAAAATCGTCCAAAATGGCTGCTGCTTTGGATAAATTAGTACAAAAACGTTTACCCAAAGTAGCAGCAACCAGGTGGATTTATGCCGGTAGACTCGTTGAGGCTGTTTCCTGTATTCGTTCAGAGCTTCTCGAACTTTTTAAAGAGATGCATACTGACACTGCAACATGGGATGGAGAGACACGGATATGTTTGAAAGGCTTTTACGTTACATTGCAAGAATTTGATTTTAATTTCTTATTAAATTTATTTGAGATTATTCTACCAAAATCAGAAATTTTATTTGATATCTTACAGAAAAAAAGTGTATGACATTGGATTTTGCACGAGAAAAGTTAATAATTCTATTGAATTTTTGCAATTAGAGCGGAATAGAGAGTCTGTGGTCAAAACAAGAGAACTTTGTAAATGATGATGTATTTGACACCATGATTATTCAACTTAAAAACAGATTTTCTGACTTAAAGCATCAAGAATGTCTGGCACTATATGATTTTGACAATTTCAAAAATTATGCAAAACATTTCCCAGATAGCGCCTTTCAACAACTTGTAAACTTATATGGACAAACATTTGACACACTAAAGTTAAAAACAGAATTGACAGTACTTTATAATGACCCAGATTATGCTCAAAAAGAAATGCAAGAATTTAATCAATACTTGAACTCTTCAGAACTTGATAATGCATTTCCGGAAGCTTTTAAATTGGCAAACCTATTTTTAACAATTCCGGCTACAAGTGCATCCGTTGAAAGAAGTTTTTCAGCAATGAAGCGGATTAAGACATGCCAAAGAAATATTTAATTGCAAGATTGAATGTCTTCACTTTCTTTAATTTCCATTTCAACGGATTAATGAGAAAACCCTCTTTCTACGATTCTGTTATTATCATTTTTGCAATCACATCATCTGAAGTGATTTGGCAACGTTTTGGCACACGCCCACAATTCGTTCCATCTTTCAACACAGACATTGACAACCTTCGTTCTTCTGTCAAAGGGTTCATCTCACTCATTATTCCATGACCACCATTTTGTGCAATCATCAAGTGGCTTCACGATGTAATGCTCTAATGTTTTTAAATAATTTTTAATCTGTTTTTAACTTGTTCTTGTCATATTTTATATAATTTTGACCATTGTACCATGTATCCAGCTCTCACCATGTTACTGGACGTTTCCCTCATCCTATACGTAAACAACAATTAGCAACATCCTCACATACTACTGTAAGTTGAGTCAATTTAAATTAATTTTACACTTTTGTTGCTACTGTTATCATTGTAATTGCAGCTCCTGATGATGATGGCAAAGTCCATTGAAAGCTAGAGAGAATTAAAAAAGTATAAAGAGTCCTCTTTGCTTAAATTTTGTCGAAGTACCCAACAAAAGGCGGAAGCTTTAATTTTTCAACTAACTGGTCTAGACGACAATGACCACGTCTATATATTATATGTTATTTGGGAGTAGTTATCTGTTCATTTTATCCCACAGCCTTCGATTAGACATATCATAAGATGATGACGTATATCAAGTGCCCCAGATACCCAGTCCAGGAATGCTTACCTTAATTTAAAAAAAGTTTAAATAAAGTACCTAGAATGAGCAAACACTTATATTTGCTAGGTTCTAAACAAACTTTTTTAAAAAGATTTTTCACATCTGGTTTAGGTAACAGTTTAGGAAAAGTCACGCGTCGCCACTCTCAGTAAGGTATAACGTAGCGAAAGTACTGAACTTTCATGTCAAACCTTAAATTATCGACTGTATGACCAAGGACGTAGGAAGTAGTAGTAGGCTGTGAGTGTTGTCAAAAGTTGGCAGGAATTAATTTGATTTAATATAAGAAAAGTACTGATATCGAAGATATTTAAAATGATTTGTCAAATTGCCAAAATATGGAAATACATGTGTAAAATTGAGTGAAAAGTCGGTAGATACAGTACTAAATTTCCAAGTATAAATAGCCCTCACTTACAACAAACTACTTGTTAGATTCTTGAAGCTAGGATTTTCCTTTGTTTATGTAAAGGACAGACTACTGGGCAGGACTTGTTTTCTTCTTTTGAAAATATTATTTCTT